TTCTTCCCCTTCAGCCTCACAGAGGTAAAATAAGAAATGATGTCGTCTCAGAAAACAAAAGGAAAAATAAATATTGAAGAAAACCCATAATTCATTAAACAAAATATATTATTTCTGAATTTATTAAGAGATTCCTTACTATCTCAGATTACGTGTTAAGTGTTACTATGATAGAGACTTGGAAAGTAATACTTCATTTCATATTGCCCAGAACTCTCTTTCAGACCATAACAGCACATTTGTTCACAGTACATAGTGAAAATATTTCCACTGTTTCATGGAGAAGTCAGAAAATTAATCCATTTCACAGTTACAGGAATTTTAGAAGTTTGAGTTCATCAAACCAAACAAAACATTTTTAGTCCTTGTTTCTAGAATGAGGCTTTGAGACTCTAAGTCTGATTTGCTTTTCAGTGTAAAAAGCCCTGGCCTTCTCTGCAGTTTGGACAGATAGCTAGACCTCACTGGGGCAGCGGGATTGTTTAAAGAGTAGATATATAGACAGTAGTCCCAGGATTGCATCAGTGGTGCCATGGCCAGCCCTCGCCATAAACTCTCAGTGCACAGACTCCAGCCTCTTCTGTTTCATCCCCTGCCCAGTGAATAAATTAGGTCAGAAAATGACCACAGAAGGGAAGAACAGAACCTTGGGAGGTTGTTTATGCAGTCAGTAAAGTGGCTCAGTAGCTAACAGTAGAAAATAAAGCAAACCGGTAGTGTACACTGAGATTTTTCTCAGAACAAACAGTTCTACTGTCCACTTTTCACAAAGATAACAGCCGAAAAACTTTTACTTTTTCTATCTGATCTAGTTCAGCAATTAGTAGTTGATATTGAGGTACACTTAAAGTTGGGGATGTCAGATAGGGAAGTATCTCGTTTAATTACATTCAGTGTATATTTCCTTTTGTTTTTAAGATTTTATTTATTTGAGAGAGAGAGAGACAGAGATAATGAGAGAGAGCACAAGTGGGGAGAAGAAGGAAGAGCTCAGCAGGGAGCCCGATGCAGGGCTCCATCCCAGCACCCTGGGATCATGACCTGAGCCGAAGGCAGACGCTCAACTGACTGAGCCACGCAGGCACCCCCAGTGGGTATTTCATGTTCCTATGTCCACTATGTACAGAAATCTGCTCCTCAGCCCCTTTGAATATCAGTTTAGTAGTTGTCTGGCTATTTTCCTGTGAGTACCAGTGTGCCTTTGCCAGTTATCTGACTCTTGCTTTTCCTCCCTTTGTGGCCTGACCTGCTTCTCTTCCCTCAAGGTATAGGATACATGTCATTCTTGTATAGCTTTCCCTCTCTTGCCCCCATGCCTGCCTCCAGCCCAGGGGGAGGTCTTGCTCCTCCCCGTGAGGGTCCTGAGAAAGAGTGGGATCCACACGTGTTCTCCCTTTTTTTTTTTTAAACATTTTTTTTTTTTAAGGTTTTATTTATTTGACAGAGAGAGACAAGGGGGGAGGGAACAGAAGCAGGGGGAGTGGGAGAGGGAGTAGCAAGCTTTCTGCCGAGCAGGGAGCCTGATGCGGGGCTCGATCCCAGGACCCTGGGATCATGACCTGAGCCAAAGGCAGACGCTTAACGACTGAGCCACCCAGGTGCCCCACATGTTCTCCCTTCTAATGAGAAGGAGGAAGTGTGGGTGCCATGCTGGACAGGAGGCCTAGCACATGAAATTCAGCCAACTGGTTTTCAGTTTCTGCTCTGCTACTTAATATGTGACCTTGGGCACCTAGTGTGCCTTACTTTCTGCCTCTGTCAATTGGGGTAATAATAGTGCCCCCTCGTAGATTATTGTGAGTATTAGAAAAGATGATACATGTGCATTACAACATGACACAACGATTAAGAGCATGTACTCTGGGGCCAAACTGCCTGTGTTTGAACAACCCTGATCCAATACTTAGGCAGTATTTCTGGTTTTCAGATTCCTCATCTGAAAAGTGAGGTAAAAAATAATACCTCCTACAGTCTCATGTTTAAAAAAAAAAAAAAAAGTGCCTACTGTTAGGGTTTGTTGTAAGAATTACATTAATTAAAATACATAAAATGCATAGGCCAGTGTCTGGCAAATAGTAAACACTATATAAGTATTAACTGTTATTAGGCTTACGGAATGGTCCATGATATAGTAGGCACTCAAGAAATAGTTGCTATTTAACAAGGAGTTCCCACTTTCCAACAAAATTCTCTAAGTGGAAAGCAGAAAGGATCTGAGGTCTAAAGAGAAGAAAGCAAATTAAAGCCACAATATGGTGCCACTGCCTCCCGCCAGGATAGTTACAATGAAAATGACAATACTGAGAGCAAATAGAACTCACAGTTATCCATAGTTGGGTATAAGTTAGTACAGCCACTTGGGAAAACTGGTGGTATCTGTTAAGGCTGAACTTAATGCATGTTCTTAAGCCAGCAAATCCACTCCTACGTGCATATGTACCCAACAGAAATGGCTGTTTGCACCAAAAGACAAGAATGTAGCAAGAATATTCATAGGAACATTATCCTTAATAGCCAAAAACTGGAAGCAGCTCCAATAAGTCCTGTATGTTTATAAAATGAAAGAAGAATGGATGAATTACAACAATAGTGTGTGTATGTGTATTACACAGAATGTCTAAAAGAAGACAAACACAAAAGAGTACATACTGTATAATTCCTTTTCTTTCCTTTTTTTTTTTAGTTCAAAAACAGCCAAACCAACCTATGGAGTTAGAAGTTGGGGTAGTGGGGACCCTTTCACAAGGGGACAGTTTTACTAGAGTGCTCCTGAAGTTCTGTTGCTCCATCTAATTTGATAGTTACATGGGTGTATTTTCTTTGTGAAAATTCATTCATGCTTCTGATTTCTGCATTTGTATCTATGTATATTAAACTGCAGTTTTAAAATATAAAGTCAGAAGACTTGAGAATTTTGGAAATGATAATTTACTTTTTCAACTTGCCAAGTGTCCCTAGAATTAAAGACTTAGTACTTTTAAAGAATGTAGGTGTTCGGGGGCACCTGGCTGACTTGGTTGGAAGAGCATGCGACTCTTGATCTTGGGGTCGTAAGTTCGAGCTCCACTTTGGGTGTAGAGAAATAAATTTAAAAAACTTAAAAGAAAATGTAGGTTTTCACTACAAGGCAGAAAATGATCCAATCTGGCTTCTGTCCTTCTTAAATTGTGTCTTCAAGGCCGTAAAAATAATCATTAGTTTTCATTTATCCTGCCACCTCATTATAATATTACATATTACATGAACTATATGTGTAAGTTATATATAAAACTGGTTTGGAGCTAGAGTCAATCTTTTTAACTTCTTTCAGAGTGATGCACTGACATCCTACAGATCAGATCTGGTGGTTTTAAGTTTGGCTGAAGAAGTAGTTTTATGGGCTCCAGCTGTGAGATGTAAGGGGCAAGTTTGAAGGTGTTTGAGTGAGCATTAGTTGTAATCGACACTTAACGCTTATTGCTTATTGCTTTGGTGTCCATGATGCCGTCTTAGTAACTTAGTGAGTTTCATGTTTGAATGGAATTTGTTTTGTTTAGTCTGCATTGTGCCCAGATTGATGATTGAAAACCTTACACTTTCGCAGAACATTGCTTCGTAGCTCTTCCCTTTTCTACTATTTTTATATCATATGAATCATTGCACATTTAAGCCATCTGCAAGGCCTGAATGGAATGAGATAAAAGCTGCCATCACTTAGATTGACACTTGAAAAGCTAGCATTCATTCCAAGTTTATTCCTGATAATCCTTTATAATTTAAAGTCTCGAACTTCATTTCAAGATGGTTGGTAACGTCTCTGAGCCAAAAGTATCTGTGACTCACAGTTTCTTTTACTTGAACATTGGGTCAAAGGGAGGGGATCTGTTCTGCGTCACACAGAAGAATCTGTTAGGGACTCAGTTGTAACTCACTTGAGATACTTAGAACAGTGAGTTCCGCTCTTGGTTTAATCAGCTCCGTGAGCCCTCCAGTTTGGCATGCACTTCATAGGGAATAGTGAAAACATAAGGTTCCTAAATTGCCAGATGAATACTTCAAAATAAATGTGTTTTGAATACCTAGAATGTATCACACCTGTTAGATGTTTGTCAAAAGTATTTCTCTGTGTTGCAACTTTTTTGAGGATTTATCAGGGGGAAAAAAATGCCTGCAGCATTGCAAAATAGATTGAGGATTAAAAGTGCACCCCATGCTTACAGGTCCTATTTCACTGTGGGTGTACACAGACCTAGCATTTACATGTTGTCCAGTAGGCTATGCACAGTCCGTAAAGCCTCTCCCAGCAGATTTTGTAAATGGGGCTTTGCTCTGGGCTGCAGGAGCCTGGGGTCCCTGTAATGACGTCAGCTGGATTTGTCAGCTGGAATCCCATGGATTAGGAGGAGAGTGCCGATTGGTTTGAGTAGAGGCTCTTCAGGTTGAAGCCAAATGCCCATTGTCATTAGGTGTCTCCTCTTCAGGAATAATGTTACGATACTTTGGTGACCCGGTAGTCATAAACTCTGGAACTAATAGAGGGAATGAAACATGAAAATATTCCCTTATTTCCTAAAATGGTAGACCAAAAATGCAGTGATCTCTTCAACCACATACAACAGACTCTTCATTTTCAAAATAGAAAGATCTCAGAAATGGAAAATTCCACTAAGAATCTAAGAATAATGGTACAATTTTTATGTCTTAATTTTTATGTCTTTCATACCTAATGGATCTCCACGTGGTCTTAGGCAAGTCACTTAGTATTTTTGTTTTCTTCCATTTCACTAATGTACTGTAAATAGTCAAAAGGCCTAAACTTTCTTTGTAAATGATAGCAATTTGAACATAGGTAACATTTTTGGTTTTTTTTTTTTCCCTTTGAAGGGACAACTCTAATTTTTGCTTAAAGACGCTTTTGAGAACTGTTTGAAAACGGGGTGGGGGGGGTTAATTATTTTACATAATTCTTGTGAAGTAATCATATTTATTTTTCGCTCAATGTTGTCTGTTTCTTTGCTCAGCAGACAGAAGGGGGAGCACAGACAGATGGCCAGCAGTCACAGACACAAAGTAGTGAGAACTCAGAGAGCAAATCCACCCCTAAACGGCTGCATGTCTCTAATATTCCCTTTCGCTTCCGGGACCCCGACCTCCGACAGATGTTTGGGGTAAGTCTCTGGAGTCCTTTTGTGGGTTTTACAGTGAAAATGTAATTTAATCCCAATAATTTAAACCCAATGTATTTTAATAAGTCATTAGGACTTTATGATAAGACTGCACATAGACTGAGAGAGATCCTAAGGTAAATCAGTGTTTTCATCAGTCTTCAGGAACTTCTGTCACCTAGCACCGTCATTCCTGTCATTCTAGACATGGGCCTTGCAGGTTCTCACATAACAAGGTGACTATGCAATCTGGTTTGCCTGGGACCGAGGGTTCTCTTGGGACGTGAGCCTTTCAGTACTCAAATCAGGACAAAGGCAGTAATCCTTACTTTTCAGAGTGTTACGAGTTCAGTGACCTAATGTCTGTGAAGCAGATAGTACCTGTGTTTTATTTTTACTTCCCTGCTCATAACTCAGCAAGACCAGTATCTAAAATCAGGTGGAGGTGGTTAGTTTGCGACCTCTGATGTGTTCTTCCAGCTTCCACTTCCTCCCGAAATCACTGTCATGAAAACAGTATAACAGCAAAGATTTAAGTTATTGGAAAGTGAGTGATTGCTGGAAGTCGTACCTTTTTTCTGGGCTTATGTGTTGTTGCCAGATTTCATTTGAGCAAACTCTTAACTTGAACTAGGAACAAGAGATCATGGTTTAAAAAAACTTTGTTGCTGTTGCTGCATGGTGCTTTGTCAGGAAAGCAGGCGCCCCGCTTGAAGTCCTGGTCGTGGCCACTTCGTGATGACAAGACCCTGAAGCAAAGTTTTGTCACTAACAACTGAGTACCTGGAGTATTTTCTGTACCGAAGCCAAGGCCAGCATTGAGTTTTAATAATGTTCTTGAAGTACTTGAAGAGCCTTTACACAGAAAACGGTAGCCAGCTGTTCATCTCTCCAGAAGAGAAAACAACAAAATAATAAAGGGCAGCTTAAAGAATTGATATTATATTTAAGAAGAAATTTCCCAGGAGTATGAGTTATTGGGTTCTCTACTGAATTATCAGAGATTATATGGAATCCTAATCTCTGGAGATCGGTGAAAATGGAGTATATTCTCATCTGCCAGAAGTGTGTTTTCTCTCAGGTCAGAAAAGTTGTGTCCATTGAAGATCTGCCTAGGCCAGTTATCAGTGATTTTTGAAATGTATTATGCCCTTCCTATAAGGCTGCTAAGTGAAAAAAAAAAGAAAAGAAAATGTTCCTTGCAAGGGACACCTGGTAGGATTGCTCTGTCTTCTGCATGGTTAGTACCGATCCCTTGGAAGGACATCAGCAGTGGTAAAGAGCAAGGATTCCATGCTTCATTTTATTAGCTGTGTAAACTTGATGGATGGCTTCCTTCAGCCTCATTTTCCTTAACCATTAAAGGAAGGCAGTCCTTACCCTAGCAGGACGGTATAAGGACACATTAGAAAATGCAAAGGAAAACTCTAAAACACCATTCCAATTTTAGTTGTTTGGATGAGCATAGAAATAAAATTAAATCCCCTCCTACCTAAAATAAGACATTTTCGTCTCTTTTAATTTCCTAATGTTCTGTTAAATAATGAAACTGGAATCAAGCCCAGAAGTCTTACTCTAGAAAACATGGGCTCTTAGTACATGTTTTCTGAAAAAGATAGTAATGATTCAGCCCAGGGAGAAAGCATGATTTGTCTTGTTCTTTTCATTTTTTAGTGTTTTCCCGTTTCCCGAATTTTGATTTAAAATCCAAGTGAAAGAGATAATTGGGTCTATGAGGCCAGTACTCAGAGGGAAGTGGGGCCGAAAAGATTCCAGGAGATTTCCTGCACATCCCTTCAGTTCATTTCATCCAAGCATTGAATCAAATAGGTTGGCTGGTCCCCTTCTACACGCCTCCTCCAAATAACCACTGTGTTTTAAGTATGCCCCTCCACTCAGCTGTTGAGCTGCCTACCAATACAGTTATTTAGGCTTGGTGTCTTTAGCTTATTTCCCAAATGTTAAAATATTTAACTAATTACAAAACAAAGTTACTACTTAAAATGTTCTTGATGGTGTTCATTGCTGAAATATTAAATTGGCAAATAAATGAAATCATGTATAATGTCCGTGAATGTTTAATACGATGGAAAATAACATGTAATCTGTAGAAATGAGAACAGAGATATATATTTATTGACTTGGAAAGCTGTTTATAGCATATTAAGTTAAAAAAAAAAAGTAATACTTGGAAATATGTCCTTAACGATATATGCCTGCGGAAAAGCAGAGAAGGCTGTGTACCAGAATGGTAAGATGGTGGGTGTGCAGAGGATCTTCATTTTCTGTTTCCTCTTTTCCTTTTTATTTATCTGTATTTCCTGACTTTTACAGTGAATATGGTTTACTTTTAGAAATTAAAAAAAAGAAGGAAAAGAAAAACAGCCTTCAGTAGTGTATCTTTCTCCGTAGAATTTGCTTCTTAAAAACTGAGACATTTAAGGCAGCCCGACACGCCGTGCGGCCCCCCATTCTCCCGCGGCCACCTCCCCCAGGCATGGCACCGGGCCTCGCCTCACCTTGGCAGCAGCACGGCACGGCACGCTCGACTTCAAGCTCGCGCCAAAGCTGATGGCGAGACCGTTCTAAAAGGCCTCCGGTCCATTTTCCAGGAGCAAGGGATGACGGAGTCGGTGCACGACTGGCAAGACCACGGTTATCTAGCGACTACATCAACAAAAACGGCAGCTTTGCCAGTTTGAGAATTTACCCACGTGGATTGGTGTTGTTGGATCTTCAGAGTTATGCTGGTGATTCGCAAGGCCAAGAAGTTGACATTCTTTTGAACAAAGTGGAAGAAAGAGTGAAAGAATTGAGTCAGGACAGTGCTGTGCGGGTGAAGCGATTACCACCCATAATTCGAGGAGGAGCTGTCGACAGATACTGGCCCAGTGCTGATGGTCGCCTGGTTGAGTGTGACATAGATGAAGTGGTGTATGAAGATTCACCTTATCAGAACATGAAAATTCTACACTCGAAGCAATTTGGAAATACTCTCATCCTTAGTGGGGACATTAATCTGGCAAAGAGTGATTTGGCGTATACCCAGGCCATCATGGGCAGTGGAAAAGAAGACTGCAGTGGCAAAGACATGCTGATTCTTGGGGGTGGAGACGGGGACATATTGTGTGAAATAGTCAAACTGAAACCAAAGATGGTCACTATGGTAGAGATTGACCAAATGGTGATTGATGGATGTAAGAAATAATGCGAAAAACATGTGGCAATGTCTTAGCCAGTGTTAAAGGAGACTGCTATCAGGTTCTAATAGAAGACTGTATTCCAGTACTGAAGAGGTACGCCAGAGAAGGGAGAGAGTTTGATTATGTGATTAATGATTTGACAGTCGTTCCAATCTCCACATCTCCAGAAGAAGATTCCACATGGGAGTTTCTCAAGACTGATTCTTGATCTCTCAGTGAAAGTACTGAAAACAGGATGGGAAATACTTTACACAGGGTAACTGTGTCAATTTGACAGAAGCCTTGTCGCTCTAGGAAGAACAGCTCAGGCGCCTGTATTGTCCTGTGGAATTCTCAAAGGAGATCGTCTGTGTTCCTTCATACTTGGAATTGTGGGTATTTTACACTGTTGGGAAGAAAGCTAAACCTTGAAGACCAATCTCTCCTAATCACATGTGCTGCAAATAGCCTTCCTGACCTTCATGTGCTATACATGACATCGAAATGAGTCAGGCAATTGATTGTGATTTCCTTCAAGTTTTCTTTTTTTAATTATTATTTTTAATTTAAACAAAGCAAATGGAAAATGTGTATTTTGATGCGCTAGGGTGTTAATTTTTTTGAAAGTCAGCTGAAGGATGATTAGACAGCACAGCGAAGGCTGCTAAATGCACTGAACCCCTAGAATGTGATTTTTGTTACTTTTGTGTGTGTGTGTGTGACTTGGTAGACTTCAAATTTGGTTGTTTGGAGGAATGAACATCATTGTTTTGTTCCGGAGGGAAGTTCTTTGATGGTGTTTCTTTCCCCCAAAATTGACTTAGCTATTAAAATTTGGTGCTTATAAGAAAGAGTTAAGAAAAAAATGAATAGCAATGCTTCGATTAAAATTATAAATGAGGAAAAAAAAACTGAGACATTTAAAACATTAAACACATAGTTAGGAAAAGCCCCACTTCTTGTCCATGAAGAAATATGCAGGAGGGTAACACTGTGAATATCTTCTGAGAACAGCTTCTACCATATAGAGGTGGATAATGCATGAGTGGGTGAATTGAAAAAGGAGTGAAAAAAGGATAAATTATCGGCTCATTGATGAGGGAAAACCAGAAACTGGTATTGGGACCTACCAACAAGTAGAAACATGGAAGTTGAATAAGCAGTTGAAAAAAAAAAAACAAAACTCTTTTTTCAGGAGAAAATAAATTATGTGGTTAAAAAGCTGACCATGAATAAATGTTTTTATTTTTGTCTCTGCAGCAGTTTGGCAAAATCCTAGATGTAGAAATAATCTTTAATGAACGTGGCTCTAAGGTAAGCTCCATCTCAGTATTAAGTGTGCCTGGTTTCTTTTTAATTTTGTTTTAAATAGTAAGTAATCAGAAAACTTAAAGCTGTTTTTCAAGCCTGCAAAAAGTATCCCAACTTACCTGGCTTGGATCAGATTATCTCTAAAAATAAGCTCCCACATGGCCAAACTTTATCCTAATAGTTCAGTTGGGGGAGTGAAGGGGTGGGGGTAGAAGCAAGAGAGTGTGAGGAGGGAGAGGATAAGGGAAATTGGGGGCAGGAGACACCTGCCCTTATTCGGACTGAAATTGCTCTCACGTGCTTACTTTAAAGGAAAAGAGAAAAGACTCAAGTGAAATTCTATGAGAATTCTATTGTGAATTCTAACAGAACAATTCAGCTTTTTAAGAATCAGACTTGAAATGACATACTTAGAACAAATTTAATATTTCAGTTCTTCAGTAGACTTGCTCTCTCTTTTGAATAAATTTGACAAGGCGTAAATACAGGGAGTAGTGACTCAGGAATTCACTGTAAGCTGATTTCCTCCTTTGAGTTCTGCCCAGAGAGGTAAGATGTAGAATCCCTTCAATTACAAATAGTGAGTTGGGTTTTTTTGCATCAGAATAAATGTAGTAACACTGCACAATTCGATATACATACTCTCTTCTAAGTGTGTTCTGTATGAGAACTGAACATTCTAATTAAAACTTATTTCCCCCTAATAATTTACTATTTTAAATTCCCAATCTATATGATTTAGAATTTCCATACACTAAAATAAGCAGCAGTGATTTTAGGAGTGAGGGAATGATGAAGTCTTACAGTGATGTGAAAAAATATTTAATGAACTGAATTTCAAAAAGTTTCATTTGACAGTTTTCTTCTTCCTCGACAAATGAAATACCCCCCCACAGACACAATCAGCTGTGGTCAAGCTTGGAAATATTTACCTTGCTCTGTTTTCTTCTACTTGCATTTTTTAGGTTAGAACAGTTTTTGAGTTAATTTTTCATTTGGTCATCTCTCCTGAACTTTGAAATAGCCCTTGGCTATGATTAAATCTCTAAGAATATAATTTGAGAAAAGCTAAGTAAAGCAAATAAATGAGATAATACTTACCTCTTCAGTTTCCTACTCCAAATTCACCATACCCTGGGAATTAATAGCATATATCCACAGAGTTATATATATACCTCCTGCCCCATCTAAACTAACACAAATGTATGTACTGTTCTAATGCTCCTGATTATTATTCCCTTCCTTTATAGAATGCACTGATAGTGTTTAATCCTGATTATAATAATTCTTTGTTAATTATTAAAGAGGTAATTATACTTTAAGCTTCCAGTTTTCAGTTAAACAAAAAAGATTAATATGCCTATACAGAACTTTCTCCAGCACTTAACTTGGTAAGTATTTTTAAAGTGAAATCTGCTCCGCCTGTAACCAGTAAAACTATTTATGCTTGTAGTTTCTTCACAGTGGATTTCTGGCCCTTTGCTTTTATCTTTTGTGACCATTTTAGATCCAAGGTGGAAAAATAACAGTGGTTTAGAGATGAGAAGTGCATGAACATATCATGTGACGATTCTGTGCTACACTGTTTATCCAAAGTCATAGTTTAAACGTTTTTAGTTTTAAGTGTATGCACTTAAAAACTTGTTAACTAGACCAACAACCCGAAGCCCAGTATGGTTTCATCAGGCACTGGGGCCTTGCTCCTTACCAAGAAAATAATTGGATTGAATTCTTGTGAAGCAAAGGAAATTGATCTTTCTTAAGGCTTCTTTCATTGACTTCAAAGATTTGCCTACTACCAAAAATTGTTTAATTTACCTGATTCAATTGCTTCTCCCTGTAATTTTCATGTTTAAATGACACATGCCTTCCTTTTCTCTTTGGGGAATCTAAAAGCCTATGCTGCTCCTCTCAGTAAAATGCTGTATCCTCACTGCCCCTTTCTCTGTGGGGCTGCTAAAGAATAGACAGACTGTGTACTCATTGGCCGTTGTTCTTAAAACAAAGCACAGAATTCAGAATGGCCTGGATCTGCCTTCAAGGACTGATAACAAAATCTGTCTTCATCCTTTGTCCTTCTTAACTGTCACTAAAGTTCTTTCTTGGAATGGGTTCTCCCGAAACTGTTCTGTAGACTTGTTAACAGAGGTTTATTTTGGAGTCAAAACCTGGGTACCTCTTCTGGGATCCACCTCACATAAATTAAAGAGTACTTTTCTTTTTGTAAATTAAGTTTATTTTCTCATTTCTTTTATGTTTATGGTTGACTATAAAATTACAACATGTCTTGAAAGGAACCAGAGATAAGGAGACCTAAGTGGTCCTGTTGTTCACTTTAGAGTTGCTCAGTCTTTTAACTGAATGTACAGAAATTAGTTTGAATTTTTTTTTTTTGAAGCAGTAATGGAAAAACGAGTCACAAAATAAATCCGAGATAAGTGATACTTACATGTAAAACAATTATCAGTGAAACAGTTAAATAACTACATGACTCCAAAACAAAAAGCAACTCTTTACCATGTCTTCTTTTTTATAATGAGACTGTCAGCGTACGGTTTTAGAACATACCCACTTAAAAACATAGATGAACACTGTCGTGCTCCCTTGCCCGTCCCCATCCCCCCCTCCAACGCCCGGCTTGCCGGCATTCTGCTTTCTCAGCTTGCCTGAAAAAGTTGTTGAGTATCTTCCTTTTTTTGTCTTTGACCTTCATATTCTAGATTTGATTTTCCTAGATTATGGAATGAATGTATATCATTTACATTCATACACAAGCAAAAATATATACTTAGATTATTTCGTGGGATTTTTTAAAAATCTTTTTTTTTTTTTTTACTCCATACTCCTTTGTAAAAGCATAAAGTCAGTCATATCTAATTTTCTGTGATTAACTAAAACAAAGGTAGACTATCCTTTTGAAAATGTTCAATTAGGATGTATGATGAAAAATGCTACCCCTGGAAAAAATGGAAGTAATAAACTCAAATAGAATCTAGAAAGGAGTATACTGATATGTATAACTTTATGATTCCCCAGATGTCACCAGTCACAACAAATATTACTGTAAACAATAGAAAGATAATATATTGGTAGAGTGGCTATATGTCCTGGTTTATCCAAAATAGTCCCAGTCTGTAGCCATCGTCTTAGCATGATGATTAGTGTCCCCTTCCTCCCTCAAAGTGCTCCAGTTTGAACGATGAATTGTATTGCCCCTCTCCTTATAGATTCTTTGAATAACAACTTTTAAAAAGCACCCTTTTCAAAACAATTATAAAAGAAAAATGTGATTTTTAATGTCCAGACCAAATAGTTCATTAAAAGAACACATTCACTAATAATCTCCTGTATTTCCTTCCAGTCTTTTTTCTCACATAGAATCTTAAACAGAACTCTAAATAATGGTTACCTAGTTCAACTTGACTTTGCATTCTGTGCTAGATACTTTTCGTGACTGAGAACTCATTGCTTTTCAAAACTTTTAAGTTTTACTTAAATTCCAATTGGTTAACATGCAGTGTAGTATTAGTTTCAGGTGTACCATATAGTGATTGAACACTTCATACATCACCTGGTGCTCATCACAACAAGTACACTCCTGAACCCCCATCACCTGTTTCACCCATCCCCCACCCACCTCCCCTCTGGTAACCATCAGTTTGTTCTCTGTAGTTAAGTCTCTGTTTTTTTATTTGCCTCTCTCTCTCTTTTTCCCTTTTGCTCATCTGTTTTATTCCTTAAATTTCACATACGAGTGAAATCATACAGTATGTGTTTCTCTGACTGACTTATTCAGACTTTCCACCATTCTGTACACTATCACCCAGCCCCGTAACAATTTGTTTGTGATAATTATCACATATAATTATCTTATTAAGTAAAGAAATGTACACATTCTAATGTTTATATTTTCCATAAAGTTTTGTCAACCTACTTCTGGTGTGGTTGTTGCTCAAAGGGACACGTATCATAAATACTGAATGTGTAGGAGCTCTTCACATCTTCAGACAGTGCCAACTGTTAAGTTCACTAAAGGACCACAGACCAGATCACAGCAACCATTATTGAGATTTCTAGCAAGTTTCTAGCATGTGTTCTCATTACTTCTCACAGGTGGATATCTGGAATGAGGGGGATCTGAATTTGGGTTAGACTTCAGTTTAGGCTGGAGTTAGGGAAGATAAAGGCTCTAATCCCATCCTCAGGCACAAGTAATGTGCTATAATTTCTTGCCTTTTTCCCTGGATTTTGATTTCATGCAAAGGGAAATTATTTATTTCTTTCAAAATATTGTCAAAAGACTGTCTTCGAAATTGCACTAACTAGGCCTTTACTTTTTAGTAAAATTTGATAGGTAATGCTGAGTTGAAATGTTTTTCATTATACTTAAAACTGAATTAACAGTGCATGTGTTTCCAAAGGGCTTAGTTTATTTTCTTTTGTTACCATCTTATGGGTTTTAGTTTTCTTTTTCTTTTATTTATTTTTAAATTTCTGTGTTCCGGCCATACCCAGGAGAATGTCTGCTTTTGATTTCTCCCTTAAAAGTTACATGGTAAATTTTCTTTCTCATTCTTCTGAGATGGAAAAACTCAAGGATTATACAAATTTAAGAATATTTTTACAATGCTCATCCTATTGCTTGTTATTTATTGCAGTCTGAGGCCAGACTAAAAAGATGGCAGTTATTCGGTTCCTATAGGCCCTTGATGATAAATGAATGTCAAGACAGGTGATAAAATGTTTGTCACATTCGGTAGAAATTTTGACCACAACCATAATCCCGATAGACACACCATTCCTCAGTTTTCACAAGACAGCTAAGATAGGGGTAAATCACTAATGGAACACTGGTAACACAGAAAAAGTTTGGGAACTGAGAGCTGTAGGTTATAGTATAAAGCATAGAGACCTGCATTGTCCAATACAGTGTCCATATTGAGCACTTGAAATGTGGCAAGTCTAAATTCAGATGTGCTTTCAGTATGAAATACACATGATTTCAAAGACTTAGCAGAAAAAAGGAATATCTCATTAATGTTTTTTATTTTGATGCCATGTTGAAATGATAGTATGTTGCATATATTTTATTTTAAATAAAATACATTATTGAAATTACTTTCATGTATTTTTACTTTTTTAATATGGCTAGTAGAATATTTAAAATTATATATGTGGCTTGTGTTTTATTTCTGTCAGATAGCACTGGTATAGACAAACATATCAACATCAGGTTTTTTTATTAAAAAATAAAAGTTTACTTTTTGTTTATCTGTTTTTTATCTTCTTAAATACCTGAAATGTTTACTCTTCTTAAGAATTTGAGATTCAGTCTTTGACTTTGTAGCGCTTCCAACTGGTTATTTTGTTTTCCTGATATATTATGTAATCATTTTGGAGTTCTTCTAAGGAAAAAGTGTTAAGTTTAGACATAACTTTATTAAATTTTTTTCAAAGCAAGAGATCCAAATGACCAAACTTAATGTGAATTAGATTTCCAAGAATGAAGGGACATTAAAACATAATTTCACGTAAACATATTTTCCTGTTAGTAACTTTTTAAGCCTGGATAATCTGTGAATATCCTTAGCTCAGTTCCTGGCACATTTTCAGAAATGCTAAATTCTATTGAAGGAATGGTACATTAAACTTTTTTTCAGGGGCGCCTGGGTGGCTCAGTTGGTTAAGCGACTGCCTTCGGCTCAGGTCATGATCCTGGAGTCCCCGGATCGAGTCCCGCATCAGGCCCCCTGCTCGGCAGGGAGTCTGCTTCTCCCTCTGACCCTCCCCCCTCTCATGTGCTCTCTCTCTCTCATTCTCTCTCTGTCAAATAATAAATAAAATCTTTGGGAAAAAAAAAAAACTTTTTTTCAAGTTTTATTTAATCTATTTTTTTAAGATTTTATTTATTTGACATAGAACACAAGCAGGGGGAGTGGCAGGGAGAGGGAGAAGCAGGCTCCCCACAGAGCAGGGGGAGCCCGATGTGGGATTCGATCCCAGGACCGCGGATCATGACCTGAGCCAGAGGCAGTAGCTTAACCAACTGAGCCACCCAGGCACCCTTGAGTTAATATTCTTGAAACCAAATTGTAGTTAAGTTGATGGAAAAGCTAAAGTTTCAACATAAGAGGAAAGTATTAAAGAACAGTACTCTAAAATTGCTGGCTATACTTCTCACCTTTCTAATCACAGACTTCTGAGAGATATATGTTAATTTCCTATTGTTTCTGAACAAATTATCTTCCAAGTTGGTGGCTTAAAAGCACAGATTTATTATCGTACAGTTCTGGAGGTCAGAAGTCCAAAATGGGTCTCACCAAGCTAAAACCAAAGTGTTGCAGGGCTGCATTCTTTCAGATGGCTCTGAGGGATAATCCAGTCCTTGCCTTTTCCAGCTTCTAGAGGCAGCCCACATTCTTTGACCTATAGCCCCCTTCCCTCTTCAAAGCCAAAAATGGCCAGTTCAGTCTTTCTCAGGCTGGTGCACTCTGATTTGGACTCTCCCGTTTCCCTCTTTAACTTATAAGCACCCTTGTGATTACATTGGGCTCACCTGGATAATCCAGGATAATCTCCCTATCTCAAGATCATTAATTTAATCACATCTGCAGAATCCCTTTTGCCAGGTGAGGTAGTAACATTCACAGGTTCCAGGGATTAGGATGTGGACAACTTTGGGGGGCCGTTATTTGGCCTGCCACAAAGTCTATTTATCTTCAAAGGAAAGAAGGAAATCTGCTTACCTCTGTATCATATCAGGAAGTCCCAAAGTATCAGCAAGACCTTCTTCGTCCTTTACACTAGGTGAAGATTGCTTCATTTTGTATCTTGGGTGTCTTGATTAGCATTTCCTTTGGAATATAAGCACTTCTGCTGGCTGTAAAATGTCAGTGCTTATGAATTCTTCTGGCTGCAGTTAGTACGTCCCAGATGCTCTGTCAGCACATTACAGAGCGGAGGCTCACAGAACACATTTAGCAATTAGATTTGAAAAAGAAGACTAGAAGGATTTTAGGATGAATGCAGTTTAGTTAATAGAATACTGAACTTAGGTTTCAAAGCTTAATTTCTAATTTTCTCACCATTAGCTGTAGAAGGAAGCCACCTGGAGGGAAGAAGGCCTTGTTGGTGCTTGGGTGTTTAACCTCCGTTTGATTTACTTTCTTCATCTTAAAAATGAAAACAGATTTATCCTTTCTCTACCCCATGGTTGTATTTAAAAGACAAACAAGCATGTGAGTGTATGGGTGTGTAGATCTAGATAGTCATAATGCCAGTACTAAAAACCTCTGGTACTAGTCTCCACATCATCTGTTATCCAGTTGCTAACTTATTGTTTATTAATTTAACCCAAGGCATATAAGTATGAGGCTGTGAGAATCAGTTGAAATACAGTTTATAATACTTCTACAATGTGATATAAAAACTCATCTCTACATGTGACCTTTCCTGAAAGGTTCATTTAACTTTTCTATTGGAGGATTCTCCAGGATTGGAGAGCTGGTTTACTGTCTTCAGCAGATGGCTAATGTAGATGACAAACGAACGATGTCATTAATTAGTAACTTGAGATCATATACCTCAAGTTGTCGATGTGTCTGTAACATGTTGGTATCAAAATTTGTTTCTGAAAATGTTTGATATTTTCAACATTTTTTTTTTTTTTTTTTTTGGGAGAGAGAGAATGAGAGAGAGCACGAGAGGGAGGAGGGTCAGAGGGAGAAGCAGACTCCCTGCTGAGCAGGGAGCCCGATGTGGGACTCGATCCTGGGACTCCAGGATCATGACCTGAGCCGAAGGCAGTCGCCTACCCAACTGAGCCACCCAGGCGCCCTCAACATATATTTTTAAAGAAAATATTAGCTAAAATTACCTGTAGTAGTCCACCTCAAGCAGCATACATTTAGAATTTTCTGTCAGCTCAGCATTGCACTTTCTAGGGTATTTGTGGTGATATCCAGATTACAGGTAGAGATAATTCATTGGGATCCTCCATGGATCGCCACTCAACCATATAGTCATGTAGAATGCAAAGTAATGAGATCCTTCAAAATGATGGAATTGCTTTTCTAAAATCTTATTGAGCAATGCACACTATTGACCATCTCAGTTAAGAACATGTTTTATATATATATATGGAAGGACTCACGGAGGACAGCAAAGCAGAGCAGAACTTAAATAAAAATAACAAAGGGTTCCAGGTTATCCTACAGTGGAATGTTCAAAGAATGCTAGAGGGACAATGCAGCTATTGAGAGATAGGTCTTTTCCAGAAAATCTTAAGAATTTACTACTCTATACATGTAAATGGCTTGAGAAAGTGTTAACAGTTGCAAAGTAGAAAGAGAAGGACAAAGCACCTAGGATGAAACTGATACAATGCTTGATAAAATAGTTATATAAATATATAGTAAATCCTGCTGCTTTTGGCATTGATGGTATGATTGTGACCAAGACAGTCTTTTCAGATAAATGTGAATATAGGAGTAAGTGGGTTAACTCCCTGGTTCCTGCTTTATCCACTTAGTGAATTAAAGCTCCATACAATTAATTTGTGTACAGAGCACAAATAAATAAATTCTAACTCAGAGGAGCAACTGTATTGCTGTTTTATGGTATTCTTTTCCTGTTGAACAGTATACAGCTGATGTCACTAACAGATCTCATTCGCACTGCCTTTTGATTATTCCTTTTTTCTCTCTACATGGAAAATTACTAATACATTTAATAGCAGATGTAGGCTTCAACAAATGTGTAATTTAGGCAAATTTGGATAAGCTATTTTCTGGAATTCAGCTGAACCTATTTTTGCTCAGAGTGCCAGTCTGGCTGTTTAAAATTCATTGAAGAAAAGGCGTAATTGGCCACTACTTAGTGATATTTTCATTAGCTTAGATGAACATGGTGCTCTTCTTCTTCTGCACCCAGTACCTAGAGAATTGTAGATCGAGGCTATGTTTTAAATTACTCTGTTCCCAGAAGAATTATGGTGATACAAGCAAACAGGCAGAGTGGAGCTAAAATGATGAGATCTCCTAAAAACCCCATTATACAGTGATTACTCCTAAAGGGAAGGCTTCATGTGGAAGTTACTGGGCAATGATGGATTTAATTAAGTATTTTTAGCATTACATAAAGGCACATGTAAATTAACAGCATGAATTGAAAGAGAAAGAACATCTAAAAAAATATTCAGATTCTTGGTGGAAGAGTTTGACCCGAGTAGCTCTATACCTTAATTTTGGTCTGGCCTCACATGCTTTATGTTTTATTTTATTATTGTTCTTGTTGTTAATTACATTATCATTATTATTGTTGTTGCTGTTATTGTTATTATTATTATTACTACTACTACAGTTTTGTATTCTGTTATTGGATTTAATTTCCCTTTACCAAATATGCATGGACCAAAAATGTGACTTTGGGAGAGTATTGCTGAGTCGATGCTGCTGTCAGTTTCATACTGTGATATTTTTTCTCTGTTTACCAAGAGATCAGTATTTCAATATAACGATGTGCATGTTTTCCCCCCTTCTCCCGCTGCATGCAGGGATTCGGGTTCGTAACTTTCGAGAATAGTGCTGATGCAGACAGGGCCAGGGAGAAATTACACGGCACCGTGGTAGAGGGCCGTAAAATCGAGGTGCATGTCTTCAATAATTCAATTTCTGGTTTATATTTTTATTTCTCTTTTTGTGTATTCCCTCACTTATTTCACATTTGGAGCCCTGTCTTGTGTGTGTGTCTGCACACATGCGTGTGTGTGTGTGTCTGTGTCATTCACCTTCTTGCACTAAAATGTGTAAAAGTAACACTTCTGTCTCCTTTCCCCATTTTTTGGTTGTTGCGGGGGGTTTCATTTTGATTTACTCGTGTGCGTGTACATGTATATTTGTTTCTCATTTACTTTTTTCCTCCAAAATGTTCATCCTTCTGCTCTCTTGATTTTTTTCCTTTGCTTCAGTTTGCGAGACTCCATATGAATACCTGGGATCAGGCCAAAATAAAACTAACTTTATAAATGTCTAGAAACTATCCAATTTGTGACATTGTGTCCTGTAATTAATCAAGGAGCCAGCCAATATCCTCTCTCTCGGGCGGCCAGTTCGCCTCCATGTGCGTGTGATAAGCAAGGAGTACAAGACTGCTGAGATGGTGGGGAGGGAAGAAAGAACCCACAACTCGTGGAGTTTTTAAGTATATTTAATATCAAGAATTTCTACAGTTAATGGATAAAATCCTCAGACCGAGGGTTTGACAGCTGCCTGGCGAATGTGCTGAGACTGTGTTCACGGCAGCCACGTGGTGTTCGCCAACCCTTTTGAAGAACGCAGTGAAGGTTAACTGGCTCCTTTCCCCTTTCCCAGTTTTTAAAAGTATAAACTATAAAAGCCACCATTTTGAGTAAGATGTCTGCATATTTTGCTTTTTCCCTCCCTTTCCGATGGTTTAGCATTTAGGGCCCTTCACTTGACTCACTCTTTCCATGGTAACTATACACAATGCTGGCGATGGTGCCCGTTGGCGGTAAGTGAAACAAAGCGCTAGAGAAGAAGCTTTTTCAATTGTTAATTACAAAACAATTAAATAAGAAAGAAAAAGTCCATCTGCCATCTCACATTAACACTACAAAATGTGATTTGACTTGTTCCTCTTCCTTTTCCTTTCCCCCTTTTATTTTCAATGCTCTTGAGTAATGCCGCCTGGACTTTGGATGTACATATTGTTTGTAGCAGTCTGAGCTGTTTGATTACTGACATCATGGTGATTTTTTTCCCCTTGCACATCTTACTCAGAGTTACTGAACTCCAAGTTTGGCTGGTTTTATTAATGCACTTCCTGCCCCTACTTCCTTTCCCCTTCCCCAAACCTCTGTTTGTAGCTCTGACTGTTCTTTCCTTGCCCGCGCGACACCCCTCCTGACATTCTCTTTTCTTTTCCCCTGCCTTCTTGCTCTCTCTCCCCAAGTTCTGTCCCCATCCTTTTCCCTCTGTCTCTCCTACCCCTTCTCTCTGTTACCTGCGGCTATTGGTCTCTTGCTGACTGGTGGTTTCTGACTGGTTCTGGCCATTTTCCTTTTAGCGCTTGGGTGCATTCTGCTCTAGTGGCTAGTGTAAGCTCTGACCCCATTCTAATCCTTGTCTGTGAGAACCTCGCTCTTCACTCTCTCCCTTCTTTCCAAAACTGATTGTTTTTTCTTTCTTTTATTTGTGTGTGTGTGTTTTAACTGCATGCTCTCAGTCTCATCATTGTTGTATCCCATTCTTTCTTTTTAAATGTGAAATGTTTCTATTATTTGGTGGGTTGAACTAGAGTAAATGGAGTTTCTTTTCCTCACAAAGGAAGATTTCCCCTCTACCAATCCTAAAAGACCTATTAAGACATTTTTTGGTTCCAGTTCCACCTAAAATTGGTCTTTCCATAACACAAATTTATAACCATACAAATTTAACTTTAATGTAAATCCCCAGAGGCAAAATAAGACATTTATATTTGGTGTGTTTTATAATTCTTTTAAAAGCTGGCGTGTTCTCTGACTTGACCACACGGTACACAGCCAGGTTCTATGGTGATGCTGCACCCTCCTTGCAAGAGCTTTAGGCTGGTTCTCACCCTGGGCTGCAGTCTTCCGGCTTTGAGGCTCCATTCATCTTTTTGTCATCAGCGCCATCTTTGTAACATCTACTTACCCTAGCACTGAGAATGCTCTAAATTCTGCACTTCTGTAATGAGGGTGGAGAGAACCATAAAACAAAAGAAACCGAAGCTTTATTTTTTCAGTTAAGTGCCTCATGTAAAGGCCTTCTGAAAACATTATTCTTAAATGGATAGACCACATAGTCTAGAAAATTCAGCCCGGTCCTAAAGATGGTCAACATGGGATTCTAAGTTTTGAGACTTTTTTTTTTAACTCCTCAAACAGTAAAATCTTACACAGTCATCAAAAATGCTGAACATTAGAACAGGTGAAATCCATAGATTTATTTTCTTATCTTCCTGTAAATCTATTCCCTGACCCGTATGGCAAGCCTCTGTTTTATCAATGAACTTCAAAGTTCATGCACAGAGTTGTACCCAATTTACTTTTTCCCATATTTTCCATAATGCAGAGACTTCTCTGTTTAAGAGATCTCCAAAGAACTTGCAAATGTATCTTTCCTTTTGATACCTTTAGCCCAAGTTTTCCATTTGGAGACCAAGAAACTGCATTTTACTCTTGTTAGCCTCATTTTATAAACACTTTAATTAAAATACTATATATTAATATTTTATATTGCTATATTATTTAAAATCAATGTTCTCTGAAATTTACATTTTATTAAACTGAGTGCTGTGTTATCGGATGAGCAACTTCATGTTCCCTAATATGGTCTACTTTCTCCCTGTCCCTTCTTTTTCCTTTATATTTTTAGGTGAATAATGCTACAGCACGTGTAATGACCAATAAGAAGATGGTCACACCATATGCAAATGGTAAGAGATGACAAATCTTCAGAAGGATGTCGTTTATTCTTGTATTAATATATGAACTTTGGGTAATCATCAAAGAATCTCTTGATTTCAGTCCTATGGCAGTTTGTTTCATTTACATTGAACTATTTTACTAGGAGAGTATTTTTACAGTTTTGTTTTTTTTACAGTTAACTTTTTTCTTAGAATTAAGCTTAGTTTTTCAGTTACTAAGCTATAATGGTCTCAGTAAAGTTCATCATACACACAGTGTAAACACGTCTTTTGAGGTTACCTGTTAACCCAGTGGGGTCCCACTAAGGCACCCTCATTTTTAGCTGCTGTTGTTCTGTGATATGATAGGCTTGTCCGTAATATGTGCCCACCAACGCTCACTTTTACTACTGATCCCTACCCGCACCTGAGCTTGAGTGGAATAATTCTTGACCCCTGCTCTCCTTTTAAAGGTATGCTCTAGAGATAACAGCAATGGTGCACATGGGTGCATGTGTTTTCCATCTTCCATCCCAGGACTACATGCTCTAGAGTGGGTTTCATACATGTTTCTCATTAAGAAAGAAACCCTGTGAATATTTTGCCTAACAAAAGCAGAACCTTTACATCATTTGTCAGTTTAGTCTAGACTTATGTTATCTAAATGATAGAATTTATTTTGAATCAGGGGCACCTGGGTGGCTCAGTCGGTTAAGCCGCTGCCTTCGGCTCAGGTCATGGTCCCAGGGTCCTGGGATCGAGCCCCGCCTTGGGCTCCCTGCTCAGCGGGGAGTCTGCTTCTCCCTCTCCCTCTGCCTGCCGCTCTGCCTACTTGTGCTCTCTCTCTATCTCTCTGTCAAATAAATAAATAAAATCTTTTTTTAAAAAAAGAATTTATTTTGAATCTGCAGTGCAACAGTGGTTTTGCCAGCTGGGCTCTACAGGGCCTGTTGGGGAGGGGTGGAGCGGAAACCCATGGGCTGGGTCTTGAGGCCTGCAGCAACTCCTTCTCTGTCATATATTTTAGCATTCTGCATGAAATTTTATCTAGAATCGAATGGGATGTTTTCTGCTGCTTTTTAAAAGTTTGAATCTACTGCTAGAGTATGATAGTATGTGCTGGTAATGTCTTAAAACAAACATAAGTATCTTAGTATATTCTGTGATGTCTTCAGTAGATACATTTAGCCCAGTTTTTCAAACAGATGGTATAAATCAGCATAATTTGCATTTATCAGCATAATTTACATTTTCCCTACCCATTTTATCAATGGTATATCATGTGACCTCCACCTTCCCCTTTACCTCTTGTTTTTTTTGTTTTGTTTTGTTTTGTTTTGTTTACACTACTATCACAAAAACAAGTTTCTGGGATGCCTGAGTGGCTCGGTTGAGCGTGTGCCTTCGGCTTGGGTCATGATCCCAGGGCCCTGGGATCCAGTCCCGCATCCTGCTCCTTGCTCAGTGGGAAGGCTGCTTCTCCCTCGTCCTGTTGCTCTCCCTGCTTGTGCTCACTGTCTCTCTGACAAATAAGTAAAATCTTTAAAAAAAAAAAAAAAAGTTTGCAATTTTGATAATAATCCAATGTAAACAAAATAGGAAGGAGAAGCAAAGTATGTCAAATTTCCTTTAGATTCAGGGAGAATGGTGTCGTAGAAAGAGTCACTGACTGGAATTTAGAAGACAGAAATTCTACTTCTAGATTTGATTCTTCATTTTGCTCTGTGTCATTGGGCCAACTTTTTTTTTAAAGATTTTATTTATTTGTTTATTTGACAGAGAGACGGGGCCAGGGAGAGGGAGAAGTAGGCCTCCTGGCGAGCAGGGAGCCTGATGCAGGGCTCGATCCCAGGACTCAGGACTCAGGACTTGGAGATCATGACCCAAGCCGAAGGCAGTCGCTTAACCGACTGAGCCACCGAAGCGCCCCTGGGCCAATTTTTTTAACCTGATTCTGTTTTTGTCTCTATTAATTGGCAGTCACAGAATTTTAGCACCTGAAGGCACTGTGGAAGTCATCAAAACCCAGCCCTCTTAGCTTATTATTTAGGAAATTAAGCCCAGAGAAGTACAGTATTTACTTGTTGTCCCAGCTGTGGTACCTTTCTTTTAACTCACCCTTTGGGTTTTGTAAGGGTCAAAATACATTGTAAATTGTACAAAACTAAACATATTCCAAGAATTTTTTTTTTTTTAAGATCTTATTTATTTGACAGAGAGCAAGAGCAGGAACACAAGCAGGGGGAGTGGGAGAGGGAGAAGCAGGTTTCCTGCTGAGCAAGGAGCCCGACACGGGGCTCGATCCCAGGACTCTGGGATCATGACCTGAGCTGAAGGCAGATGCTTAACAACTGAACCACCCAAGCACCCCTATTCCAAGTATTATTGACAGCATACCATTATATACCATTATTAAAATGTGTGTTATTACTTAAGGGAATGCTTAAGTAATAATGCCATTGGCAGGAAGGAAAAAAGTCATTTTTTGAATATTATTCTAAATTAATATTCAAGCCTAACAGCCAAACTTTAGAGACCTATAGCTTCTTGTGGTTAAGGCTTCTGAGAAGAGTGTGCTAGGTGCCTTCTGGTGAACTCTCAGCCAGCAGTTTAGTTTACGTTGGTTAGAATCACTTGATTTGTCTGACATTGCAGAACATTGTGTTCTTACAACTCCAGTAGGATTTGAACTGAGATATTTGCTCAACTTTTATGTAAAATAATGTGCTCACCATCTATGAGCACATAAAATAATGAATGGGGGATTGGATTGGTTCAGAATGAATGACTTTTCTCTTGAATACTGTCTCCATTCTTTCAGAAAAATAATGGAGCATGTTTGCTAACTTATGTGTAAAATTCTATAAATGTCTGTTGATTAAAGTTTTCATCTGGAATTCTCCTTAACTATCAGTGGGCAGTAGTACATTTTTCTTTTGTAACTCCTGCTACATTCCTATAAATATAAAAAGGGGGAATGAAGAAATAAAGTTGACATCAAACCTAATGTCTGGGAATACTTAAAGTATATAAATGCTTAGGCTGATGTTCAACAGCAGTCTGTTATCCTTTAGCTAAAACGACTGATTAACTTAAGTATGTATATTACCAGTAAAATCCCAAGACATGCATGAAGTTGGGGATGTACCTTGAATTTTATTACTGCGTGTCTCTTCTTGTTCACCTGCCTGAGGTCAACCAACCAAATTCCAACGGTAAATCCCAAAGAAAGGGGATTTTGGCTTACCCAGATTTCCATCAGCATAGTATGATTGAACACAGAGTCGAAGATCAGCTCAAACTTGAATTCAGAGGATACCTTTATAAAGCAGCGAGAGTAGCAAATAGTGTGAAGATAATGTATAAGAAAATGCATCACAGTGTGGTGTAGAATGACATATTCTGCCTTTCTCCTTTTTCTAAAAATAAATAATACATTCTGAGCAGTTCTATGAGAGAGACTATGCCAGAGCCCAGGATTTATTTATATTTCTGATATTTCTTTGTCCTTCTCTCATTCCTTTTCTGTCTTCCTACTTCCCTCCCAGTTTTTCTCTCCCTCCAGTTTGCACCTCTACTTGCCCCCGCCCAGCTTCTCATTATCCCCACCTCACTGTGCTCCTCCTGCTTAAAGATGCTCAGCTTTGGAAATGCCTGCCTTCCACCCCCCAATGTCTATCACCCACACACCCCCCCTCCCCCCCCCCCCCCCCCCCCCGCAAACCTCCCAGCTGGCATTTACAGAGAAGATGGTGATGGGTGGAGATAAGCCCAGGGATATCTGGAGCCAGCTTGCACATGCCCTCATCACCCCTTTACCACGTGTTCCTCATGTAATCTTAAATGTTCACTGTCCTCTCTTCCCATTTCAGGTTGGAAATTAAGCCCCGTAGTTGGAGCTGTATATGGCCCTGAGTTATATGCAGGTAGTATTTCGTTTATTTTTCCATTTGTGAGCACGTTAACTGTAACACATCTGTTGTTTTTCAATTTACTATTCTTTGTAATCTTTTTGCATTTTTTAATCTTTTTTTACATGCAATCAGCATCCAGCTTTCAAGCAGACGTGTCCCTAGGCAATGATGCAGCAGTGCCCCTATCAGGAAGAGGGGGTATTAACACTTACATTCCTTTAATCAGTAAGTAGCCTATGTTGGCCTGGCATGGATTTTGACTGTTGTGAGTAAACAGTGATGTGTGCTAGTCTTTTTTTCCTTCCTCGAGTATAATATGTAACTGAAGAGGAGGCCTTCTCGAGAGAGTTAAATGCTGTCACAGTGCCCTGTCCTGCTTAACTTAACTGTGTTAGAATCTTTCTGACCAGATACTAAGATTGCCACGAAGCATAAATAGTTGGAAAAGGTCGAGGGGGGTGAGGACATGTGTAGAACATTTTAGTCTGCACTTGATATTAAAGAAAACCAAAGAAATAGGTACTTGTGGAATATATTATGTTCTCTGCAAGTCAGCTTTGGGCCCTCTAGTAGACTATCATTTAGAAGTACCTCCGGTATTAATGATTATTCTCCGCTCTGTTGATACTTCTAAAGTCATTCTGACCTGAGCCGTTTTGCTCCAGCAAAAGGTATAATTAAAAAGAGTTCAGTGAACATGAAATAAATGTTTCTGTGTGCTTTCCAAAGGATAGCACATTTAAAATAGACCTTTAGAAACTGCCTGCCTCCCTAAAGGCCACAAGATTACAGGGGAGAAGTCATTTCCCTCTCCCCTTACATTTCTGGATTAAAACATTTTAGATAAAAGAATAAAGTGGACTAATGAAATGTCTAAAGATTATTGTGTGCCTTGGAGATTGGCACCATGTACAAACACAAAAGACTATTCTTATGAAGAATAATTATTATATGTGCATAATAACATGGGAAAACAAGACTAATAATTGGCCAGTTAAAGAGTTTATATCAATCCCTGTAAACTGCCCGCAGAAATGAGAAGTCTCATCTCTTATTATGGCAGTAGTTCTCAGAGCTTCTTGACCTGTTTCTCATCAAGCGTGCGTTGTAAATGCCAGAATTGAGAAGGAGCAGAGTAAACTCACTCAAGATGGGTGACGAACAGAGCATGCATCGTTAGCTTTGCATATTGGGTCTCTCCATTTCTTTCTCAGAAAAGGTGGGGTACATATCTTTCCACCTTTCCTGGAATTGGTTCAAAGCAAGTTGGGATTGTACCCCCTGCTATTGAATGCAAGTTGACATTCCTGTCATATTTTGGGTCTCCCTTTAGTTCCTGGCTTCCCTTACCCGACTGCAGCCACCACGGCAGCCGCTTTCAGAGGAGCCCATCTGAGGGGCAGAGGGCGGACGGTATATGGTGCGGTCCGAGCGGTACCTCCAACAGCCATTCCCGCCTATCCAGGGTAAGCACGAGATTCCAAAATAAGCAGCTGGACGGAAAAGAATACCATGGCCCTCTCACAACTTCTGGGACGTTGCTGTGCCACATCGTAGAGATTCTATTAATATTTGTAAATTAATGGATTAGATGGCAAGAACCAAAATAGACCATCATCAGAATGTAACAAAATAACAATTCGTTATATAAATCTTTATTTTGGCCACCTTAAGCCCTCATGGTAGTGGCTTAAGACAGCAGCCAGAACGGTCTTGTGTTGACTGGCAGTGTGTTGGCATGGAGTTCACTCAGCATCGCACGAATATGGATTAACACTACTGCAGAGAACCAAAATAGGAGCTCAAGACTGTAGTCCAAGACCGCATCTGCTGTGCTTACCCCCTTATCACCACCCTGTGTTGGGGCTGAGGCTACCACATCGCCCTCCCTTTTGGTTTCACTGCCTGGGTGGTGAGCAGCAGAGCTAGCTACCCACAATGGATTTGCTTTCTTTGTAGGAAACGGATTAAAAGAGGTTAATTCAAAGATGAACCAAGTCCAATTGAATCCAGGGAGAAAGGGAGAAGTAGGAAGAATTAAACTACAGTTGGCTTCTGAATGATGGTAAAACAACTAATGTAGCTGAGCATCCCTCACCCTTTGATTTTTGTATGGAGGGTGTCTCACGCAGTGGAATGATTCCATAGCAACAAATCAATCCTTTGCTGTTGAACGGGGGAGAAGGAGTGAAGGTGGCAGGTTTTGTTTTTCGTTGTTTCTCAGTGTCAGCCTAAAATGTATCTTTTTATGAAGAGTGGACTTCAATAAGTTAGCTGTACTAAGGACATTCTTTCTTCAAAGAGGCGACATTTGTGTTCTGCATCTTTTCTCTGCCTATGAAGGGTTTTTCCCATACTCTCTCGGAGGAAGAAACGCACTGGCAGAGGAGCCTGTTCACTGCTACTTAGTTAAAACCCAAAGGGAAAGAGCCTCCTCTGTAGGTCCTTTTCTGACAGCAGAATTGGCTTTGAGGTGTACTAACTTAGCATTCATTCATAGACCAAATGGACATGCCATTAGGGGTCCTCCGTTGCACAGAATTAAAGCATTTTTATTAGACAAGTATGCATGTTGAACTGGACAGGCTCCAAAAGCTGCCGGAAGGTAACTGCTTTAGAAATAAACTTTTGTTTGCAGTTTATGGATGTTTAAATCCCATGCATTCCATCATCTCCATCTTCTGCCATTACTTGCTTTTAATTTTATTCTTTCTGCTCTCAACTTGACCTTTGACCTTCAACCTCTGACATCTCTTTAAAGAAGTGAATAAAGATGCAGTATTATTTCATCAAGAAATAAGTAAAATATAAAAACAAACCTTTTGGAAGTTCTGCACACCAGGAAAATTGTTCATGAAGCACCTTCCATTTCAATCCAAGAGTTTACCGTCATGCTGGCAAAGCGATACCACTTACCAGAAACATGGGACTTTTTTATTTTGTAGTCTTCCTGAGTTACTTTATAAAAATGGTTGGATTCGTTCCTATTCTTTGTAGCTCATTTCAGTATATTGGCCAAACTTGAGAATCCATTCTCTGCCAAGTCTGTGTCAGGATTGTGTTCCCTCAAAGATATTTTATCTTTATGTCTAATCATACCAATCTCTGTGCATTACATTGAACACTGATTTCCCATGTTTTCTTTTTTATTAACCACCGGTTTACAAGGAAGATGGCAAGGAATAAGTCCAGTATTATATGGGGAATGGCCTAAAATTGCTTTTCAGCTTAGTAAACTAATTTCATCATTAATCATTATGTTCTAGCTTCCTTGTGGCATTTGATACAGGGAATATTAGAATTCTTACAGAATTTAGGTGAATATTCCCAGTGAGTGATGCAACTTAGGGTAAACTTAATTCGTGTTTTTAATGCCACCACTCTTCTCTGTAGAAGAGATGTTTGTCATCTTTGCCTGTGTCCCCTACTGAAATAGTTGAAGGTTAATCAATCACCACTTGGCTTCAGTGCTTTCCATTCGGTCAGCCTTCTCCTTATGAACAAGTGTCTTAGTTGAGAGGCAGATTACTTTCTAATATCAATCTCTAACTACAGTTGGAAACTATGAAAATGGATAGAACGTAGTAGCTAAATGAGCATCACAGATGAATTCATTCTGCCTGTTGTGTAATACAAAGGCGCAACGTATTGGGGACATTGCAAAGTGTGACCATACTATCCTGTAAACCCAACAAAATACCATTGTAAATAGAATTCAGAAACTTTCCAGCTACCTGCAAAAAATAAATTATTTCATATTCAAGTAAAAAAATAGGATTTAAAGACCTCACTAGTTTATTTATTACAACAGAGAAGATAGTGGTGAAAATTTCCAGCTTGCTTAGTTGAATAAACAATAAACAGATCTTCTCATTTAAAATATCCAAATCTTGATTTAACAAATGTGAAGAAGAAAGTCTTATCTTGTATCTCTACTGCTGTTTCATGTCTTTTGATCCCAAAGTAATGTTTTGGGGGAAGTCTATATGCACAGAAATAGCTCAAAAGGTTTGAAATCTATGATTATAATAGTTTAGTGTCGCCCAGGATTAAAAAAAAAAAAATCCTTGTATTTTGTTTGATACAAATTCATTTTTCTAAACAGGAAAATAAACCCTTCTATTCCTAATCAGCTACTTTCTCAGTTTTATCCTTTTAAATAAAACAGGATGATCCTTGGTCATGCCCAGAACGTCAGTTATCAATTCTATTTTTCAGAGTTCCATGAATATGCTTATGGTCAAAAAAGAACCCTTAAAATATTCCAGTTCCTCCTTCCCGCTCTGGATTATATTGTTACTATCTGGGATCCCCACTGCACCTTTCAATTCTTGGACCTTGGACCAATCACCTTAACCTTTAGCTCATTATCTCTGCTTGTGAAAGCAATGCATTGTGGGTATTTTTGGTTGTGTTTTTTTTTTTTTTTTAATTACATTTCTCTGTTTACTTTGGTCAGAATTGATTGACTTGTTTTTCTGAGGTGTTGCATTGGTTCTTAAAATGCTGAATAATAATACTTTGCATGCTTGTGTGATCAGCCAAATCTTATCGCATGTCTAATGTGCAGGGTAAAAAAGCAGGTGATGTATGGATATCAGGAAAAAAAAATGTACATACTTCTAGGAAACTGAAAACAAAATACTAAACATAATTTTGAAACATACTCTACATACAGGTCCTGCCCTGATGGAATTCTTTGGGTTCATTTATTTTTCACGTTAGATCCCTCTTTGCGTGCCTCTCCCCCCCCACCCCATACACACGCAGTCATTTTCAGACTCTTTAAAGAAAAATTTCCTCCTAGGGCAAGCTTTTAAAAAAAAAAAAAAAAAAAACAAAACCAAAAAAAACCCCAAGAATGAAAACTTGATGTTTCTCATCCAGCAGATTTCCGATAGTTCTGTTAGGCCCTCTGGGAATGCTTTTTATTGTAATCTTCCTGTAATGACCCATGTATCCAGGTGTCCCTTCCAGTTTGGCGCTCCTCCCCCTCCTCGCATGCCCTGGAGCTGTATAACGTGCGTGCGCACCTGCACGGTCCTCTCACGCGCTGCGGCCCCCAGCCCCCGTTATGTATTCATACATCACCTGCCTGTGTAGAGCGCATGTGCATGCTGCCGTCCTCAATAACCGGAATGTGTTTCTGTTCTTTTGTTTTTTTGTTTTTGTTTTTGTGTGGATTTTCTGCAGTGTGGTTTACCAGGACGGATTTTACGGTGCTGACCTCTATGTAAGTACACACACCGGGGCCTTCTCGACCCCATTCCCTGACAAGCCAGCCTTTTTTTTTCTGTTTCTTTGGTTTGGTTTGGTTTTTTGTTTTGTTTTGTTTTACATATAATTTGTTTAATTTTTATTTTCTTTTTCCTTGTGGAGATATATATATATATTTATATATTTAAGAATGCAAGCATGCTTCTCTGCCACTGCGCTTGCCCCTGGGTGCAAAAACTAAGCCTTTGGGTTTCCTGATCATTGCTAGAGTCAGTCTACTGGACATATTCTTTTCCCTTCCCTCTACCCACAGATGTTCTGTGTATCAGTGATTTATTGGCGAGATGATCAGCAGGTTTAAAGTCTTTTATTACTGTCGTGTCATGTGCATACATAAATAACAGGATAGTTAACATTAGCTTAAACCAACTCTCTCTCTTTTCTGCTTTTCTTCTCATTTCATATCCCTCTTTAGATCATTGGAGCTTTGATTTAAGATGGCAATAAGCTTTCTGAACTATGTGTTTTCCTATTTTATATACTTTTGAGAGAGCATTACCCTGTGAAAGGGGAGGAAGGAGCTGATGCCAGTGAAGAGTGGGGATAAAGAGAAGAAACCAGACACTCAGTGCTTCCGGCCTTGCTTTATCAAAAAGGTCCACAACTGGTGGGTCTCTTTTCTTAAGAGCCATCTAGAGGGAAATGAGTGGCATAATTAGCAACCTAGACTCTTACAAACGTTTGACTTTCATATAGGATCTGTTGATTCTCCCAGCCATGTTAACATCATTATTATTATCCATTATTGAAACTGTCTTGTTATATCGTGATTGGTTTGTCACATATTATTTAAAATGTGGACAAAGTGATCTAACTGACAAAGAATCCAAAAGTTTTTGAACTTTGAAATCTTTTATTAAGACCTCTCCAGATGATCTGTTTCTGAATGCAAGCTTAGTCTAACCACCCAAATCATTAAGAAATTTCTTAAGAAAAACTTGTCAGCCTGAAATTATTCCTTGGGCAAAGGTTAGACTTGTCCAGAAATGCTTTCTCCACCCTTACCTCCACAAATCAATAAGGGTATACCTTTGCAGTGAACTGTTTCCACAGATTTCTGCCAGAGATTCTCTGGCAGTCAGAAAACTGTAGTGTACTTTCAGAATGTACTTAGAGGTTCTGTGTGTTGTAGGAGGTAAAGATAGGATAAAGCAGTCTTCTGGGATACTGTAGGTACCTGGACACACCTGTCCTATTAGAGTAGACTTCTAAAAAGTTTGCCTTAGTTTAACAAATGCTGAAAGAAATCTTAGCCATGAATTGGTCCAACCCTCTCACTTCATTATATACATTTCTTAGAGAGATTGTGACTTACCCAGATTACATCAATTATTTACATAGCCAAGCACAAAACTCAATCCATATTTCATTACCTCTCGCAGTGCCTTAATTAAAATCCACATCTTTCCTCAGATGGTTTTCAAGAGGTAATGAAAGATACCTTTTTTTCCTGTGCTCACAGTGAAACTTGAGGGTTGGGGGAATATTTCTGCTTTTATACCAAATGACACTTTTCTAAATATACGTATTTGCATATGATCTTAGCATGTACATTCTCCCATACACATTAGTATCCATATTCTCATGAAACTCATCTTTATGTTATGTAAATTGTTTTCCTGAAATTTGATTTATTAGAGCATGCCTTTCCACTGGAATTATTTCTTAAAGGTGTTTTTTTTCCTCTCTCTCTCTCTAATATCTTCTTTATTTGGGGATTTTTTTTTAAGTATGGCTTACCTTATTAAGATTTGCCTACTTCCACCTTGTTTAAGTGAACCAACCAAATATTTGCTTACAGTTCTCTTATTTCTTTAGTTCACAATATACGATTTTATTAAGAGAGAGATGATTTTTCTGTACTTAGAAAATACTCTTGAAAAAAAATTTTTTTAATCTAACTGGATCACCTTATGAAGCTATATAGAAATAATTTAGAGACCTTGCTGAAATACTTGTTTGATCAGTGGTGCTTTCTTAACAAAAAGAATTAATCATAATGTTATCATTTCTTAGTTCCTATCTTAAAGGAGGGAAAAGTTGGTCACCAGTGCTTGCAATAATATCTGACCCCGCTAAGGAAAAACAAGACTACATAATGAGGTGTAGCCGTTGAGTGAAGGCTCATGTAACTACAGCTTGGAGAACTTAATATTCCCACTTCCAGATGTGAGGGAGCCGGGGATGCTTCTTTTAAACACACACATACACACACGCACAGCGCCCCTCTTTGTTTCCTTGAGTTTGTTTCCTTCTCTCTGTACATTTTCCCGCCTGTGGAAATCTATCCCATATACACAGAGTCCTTGTTTCCTCAGAAATACAGACGAGCAGTAAGGACGAGTGGAGGGTCTGTCCACCACACGAAGTGCACCAAACCAGAGCTTGAAGAAACATCACGAGGAAAAAGAGTTTAAGCTGCCTGTTTTATCTTAAGTTGTACTAATGTAGGCTGTTAATTGTGGAGATTTTTTTTTTTTTTTAATCTCTCCCTGTTCTGTTGTTAGTCCGTAATCCCTGCTAGCCATTTGCTTCTTTTCTCTTTCTTTTGTGGCTCTTGCCTCTCTGGGGAACTGATCTAGCCGTTGTGCCCGCAGTGTGTAAAGAGACCACAGTGAGAAGCCTTGAGTGTAGCAGATAGATCGTGTGCCCTCCCCACCCCTCTTTTTCTTGACCAGTAGAAAAGGCATGGTTCACCCTAATTCACTTTTTAAAGGGATAACAAACTGCTCCTAATTCTTACCCTGTGAAAAGCATGCTTGCATCCAAAGGAAAGAAAAGGCTGGTGGGCCCCTTAGCGGGCTTTTTGTATGATTGTTTTCCTTCCACAGCTGTGTTTTTTGAACTGCTCTTCCTGTGTTCTGTTATAGAATAGTCTTACAGGAACCAATCATTAGCGCTAAAATACCTCAGGTAGGAGTGCCAGTGTGACCTGCCAATCAATCAGATTGTGGATTGCAGTGAAAAAATTGAATTATACTAACCATTCCAGCTCCACGTTAGAGATGGGAACAGAGGCTTTTTTGGACAACCGAGACTTGTGAGCGTGTGATCTAAGCCCTGCTACCTCAGCAGCGTGCAGTCCAGTTCTATGCGTGATGGCACCTCCTCCAAAATTAAGTGCTCGCGTCCCATTGCCGCTGTCCACGCCAGGCGTGTGCTGTGCACTGTCCCATCACGGCCGCCTCTCTTAGTTTGTCAATCACATTTCTCCATGGCGTTCAAACTGGGCTTTTATACTTGGAGATCTTAGCAGGTGGAGACATCTTCTCTCCACCGTGAAAGAAATGAGGAAAGGGAGGAAGTCGAGTCTCTGCGGACAGGACTCCTGAATCCCTGATTGGGCCCCCCAGTAAGACCATAGTAGTGATTGGACCGTGCTGTTACCTAAGTTTGAAGTTGCCTAAAAATCTAGATCCACTGGGACTCTAAAACTTGAAACATGTATTCCCTTTGCCCTCTTTGCCTTTCTCCTTAAAATAAGGTCAGTGAGTTCATTTGGATAATAATGCACTGTTCAGTTTGCTGATAGCTGGATGCTCAGGGGAAGGACAGCAGACAGCCTGTCACAGTTCAGCTAGTTTCTTTTTGTGCCTACCCAGCGAGATTTGGGAAATGAACTAATTTGGGGAGAAGTGAAATAGTGGAGTGTTTGAGAGGTTTGATTCATTAAAGATCATCTCTCATCTACCATTGAAGTCGTAAGTGGAAGATAAGTTGATCATGACAGTTTCTTCCCCTCGCCCCAATTTTAAATAATAATAAAATAATATGTAAATACTTAATCTTTAAGACCTTTTCATATCTACTTTTCAAAGTAGATAGGTCACTGTCAAGAATAGTAACAATATTCTCATTATTACAAGCGTTTGTGTTCACATCTGTATTTACTCACATTTAATCAGGGGTGCCATATTGCCACAGAAGAACGGTCTCCTACGAGCCGCTCCTGCAGGGTCCATCTAGGGCGATGGCTCTCGGCTGGAGTGGGAAGGAGGCGAGAGAAGGGAGGGGGTTAGAACCGGGCAGGGACAAATAAAGTGATGCCCAGAGGCACAACATTCAACCCAAGCTCCTTGGGCTAGATCCTGCTCCCTATAGTGATTTTAAGCACCACACCTGCCTTTCTCTCCACCCACCCACCCCTACTCCCCTCGCTCTATAAATCTGTACACCATGTTCAGGGAACAAGCTCTCATTTTGTCTGCTGGTCTTGAAATACACACTCTTCTCAGTGTCATATAATGTAACTGTCTTCCAGGTAGAAAGAAGGTGTCTTGACATCACATGCTCACCAAAGTCCTGTTTTAATGTAAATCTAAAACAAAAATATAATAAAATTAATGGCTAGGTTAAAATCAAGACAAGGGGAATGTCTACCCGTGTGGGATCATGCTAATAGATAATGCAGATAAAGGTCAGATACGGGAGAGGTGGATATGTAGAGCCCTTCCATCTTGTTCTGGTTAAAACAACTGTTTTAGAAAAGTCCTGTGGTCAATGTGGCAACATTATAAAGTTAATTAAATGATAAAATCGATTCAGAGTGGAGTAGAGAATCCCTAGCAGGTGTTGATGGATCCTGGACAGCTGAGACTTGAACAACAAAAGGATCTTAAAGGTAACCACGCTTTCCTGGGAAAGAGCTGAAAGTTGAAGGCAGGGATGTGTCATGGATATGTGAAAAGATAGACCACTTAAGCCCGGGAACTACGTCCAAAGAACCCTGGGTCAGAATGGATGGGTGCTGCCCAAAGGCCAGCACCCAAGCTCGCTCCGCGGGTCAGGACTGAACCTCACTAGCAGGGTCAGGAAGGGTGCATAGGGCAGTGATGGAGTGTTGGGCTGCCCCTGTTGGGGACACTCCGGAGGCATTCACAGTGAGTTACAAAGGAATAAGAGAGTAATCCTTTTAAAGGGGCACGCGTGTATTTGGACCAGGCTCAACCATGCCAAATGTGTCCAGCCATCAGGGTTCCAGAAGGCAGTCCGTGTGTGCCCTCCTACACTAGGGTGTGCTGTGGCCATGCTAATCCCCATTTTTTGTTTTATTTCAAATCACACACAGATAGAGTCTGCAAACTGCTTCAGATCCAACAGGTCTGATTGTGTGTAAATACATATGTCCTTTTTAATTTTTATTCTTAATGGTTGCTTCAGTTTTGCATCAGTGCATGGTTAAAAGCAATACACATCAGCTATTTCATGACTTCATATCTCCAAATGAATTATTTCTCCTCTTTTTTTTTTTTTTTGTTTGTTTGTTTGTGCAGTCAGCTGAAGACACGTTAACATCTCACTCTAAATCTCTCAGTGGAGTCTCTGTTCCCTTCTCTGATATAACAGATGGGTTACTGCTTGTTATAATTATTAACATTGTGGTGTGGGCCAGGGCGAGGGGGGGCGACCTTGACTATTTCCTTGGGCTGGGGAGGGCCAGTTGTTAGGGTCTGGAATGTTAACTCGAGTGGTGACTGACTGTCTCCGTAATAGCAGGGTTGTCGTGGCTGCACGCTCTAGTAATTGAGGCTGTGTACTTCACCGAGCTTGTGGTAGAGCCGAGGGCGAACCGCTGTCCCAAGAGAATGCTGGGATAGATAGAGTTAGCCAATACGAGTCTGAACGTGGTGATTTTGCTGGTTGTTTTAGCTCCAGATGTTGGCATGCTTAGTTTTTAATGTGATTAATCAATGTGGCGCCATTACCCCCCCCCCCACGCCTGAACCCTGTCTCTCCTACTCCCTTCCCCACCCTTGTTCTTTTTGAAAAACTTAAGAAACAGTAATGAAAACCTTGGTGTTTCAAACTGCGCTTTGTTCTCATGTTCTAGAAAAGATTTCAGACTTGCTAGTCGAGGTGAAAGTTGAGAAAACAATTTCTCGGCCTGGAAGCTTGATGCACTCCGAATTCGGAGTAGATTAATGAATACGTCTGAATTTTCTTTGTCTTACAGTTTTTGATATATTTTGTTTGAAGCAGCAGCAGAAATGCTTTGGTAAGACTCCATCTGAGAGAAGTAAATCCATGATATACAATTTAACTTTTCTAATTGGGGGATAGTCACCGATGAATGACCAGATTAGTTTATTGGAATATTATCTGTCCATCCTAAACACAGCCTCCCCCCACCTTAACGGGCCTCTCTGTAGCACCACTGTAAAGTAATTAGGAGGGTGGTCGTTGAAATATTATCAGCTTAAAAAAAATTAGTGTAGTTTTTCTTAATGCTGATATTCTTCTCAAGCCTTTTGTTGGCAACAAAATATTTGTATCCCTGTCCCATTTTCCTGAATTTAAATAGCAAAGAACCTCATCAAATTCAAACTCCAAAGTCTGAGTCCACTTATAACAGAAGGAAACTACTACAGATAAGAGTCTTCTCGTCTCCTTCTGGCTTGGAAGGAAACTTCTTTCGCACAGTCTGATCCATTTTGAATTGTTTTGGTTAACAGTAACATTACCCCAGAACCATTGCAGTTCTGCTGGCTTCTTACAGGCTGAGGAAGGGGAGGGGCAGTGGTCCTATCGGTAACCTCATTCAGAACCTCTTTTTACAGCATTAGTGCACTACCGCTCAAAGCTATGATGTGATAGAATCCCCAGTATCTCTGACTTTACTGAGACTTTCTGAGAGTCAGGTTAGTACTTTGGAGCCTCAGAATCCCTTAATGGGAATGTATACTCTGCCCTATGGCATAGAACTTCAGTTTTTAAATGTTTTGCTCAGGTAAACATAAATTGGGCTTTTTTAACTGCTTTTATTACCTTTTTAATTTTTAAAGATTCTTTTGGTGTTTGAAGGAATGCTAAGGAGACACACCACATACTGCTTGTTTACCACATTATCCTTGTTTACAAAGAAGTTTTACTAAAACCAGCCCTGCTATAAAACACCAGCAAACTTCAGTTCTAAACTTAATGGAATCATCTGTAGTTATAATGAAAAATTGAGCCTTTAAAGGTTCATTTAAAGCTTAAAATTTCAACTATAAAGATTAACCTGTTGCTTTAACAAATGTTTTTCCTAAAAAGGAGTAAGGTAAAGAGACCCTTTAGTTTATGTATAATGCGTATATGTGTAGGTAGATGCAGTTACACACACAGATACGGCAGGGTATGGGATGCAGCCTGCGATGTGTAGCTTTGCCCAGACCAGCCTGGCCTGCCCGTTCCTGTAGACCTGGCCAGATGTCAAAGCGAACGTGTTGATCACACACAGCCCCGAGGGTGCTTCCTGCCATGTTTCTGTCCTCTACCATTTCACTGTCAGTGTTGGGTGATATTAATTAGAATCTTCTGATGTGTATAGATATCTGTGGAAGAATTTGTAATTAAGAAAGAAATGTTTGCTTTTCTGAGTGATTCACTTGAAGAACAAAGAGGAATAATGCATGACTACTGAAATTCAATCAGGGATACTTTCAGTGTACATTTGAAGCTACTTTGGATGGCTTCAAGCAGCATACATTTAGAGAGCAGGAGTAAATGTTCCTCCATAATGCAGTGTGTTCACTTGGAGAAAGAATAAATGAAATGGTGCCTGAGTGCACCAGCTGAACATAGTTATATCTGATAGGGAGAAGATAGTAATAAAAATTCACTCCTGAATTAGGTTTAGGTGAAATAGATGAATTCTTGAAGGTTAAAGAAGAGGAAAACATAGGGCTCGCCACTTTTTAAAATAGCCTGTCTCCTGTGGCACTTACTGTTGTGTTTATCTTCGAAATGCTTAATGGGAAGTACATATGGTTCACCCTGACAGTGAAAACCTTTGGGGTATTTGGTTCCCCTAAACTGAGGGGAAGAAACAGGATGTGGGAGTCTGAAAGTCTCCAGGACTGAGAGGATATTGGGCCCATTGGCAGAAGAGCTCCAGAGCCTGCTACGAGATTGGAGTGGAAGAATCTCCGAATCTTTTGGGAGAGGAGAATAAATGCAGTTAAATGCCCGGGGCATGGAGGGAGGGCTTCCTCACCTAGGTGAGTCCCACCGCAGGGTCCTGGGCCGTTTGTAATGTGATTTGTCTGAGTCTGAAATGTAGATCAGAACTGGCAGGTTTTTGCTCTGAAGGGCCAAGTGGTAAATATTTTCGGCTTTGGAGGCCAGACGGTCTCTTCACACCTGCTTCCAAAAGCAGGTGGCAAGCTGCGTCGGCTCACAGATCGAAGTTTGCCAACCGCTGATCTACACTGGGTTTTCCTTCTAAATGTTGCCTGGTTATCTTAGCCTCTGGGCAAACGTGCGAGGCCTGATGGAGCACAGCACTATAGAGGACCTTTCCATTACATACCGTCCGTAGTCTCAGCAGTAAATCCATCTGAGAATCTGAAGTTAACACACACAAATTTAGTATGTTCTAGTTCTATAATTTACATTCCCCGTCAGGTAAAGTTCTCCCAACTCCCTGCAGATATTTGCCCTGTGAAGACTGTGAAGTAAGACAGATCTGAAATCCTATCTTCGTTTCTTAAATCTGAGAACAGGTCCTACCGAGAGAGTTTTACTTTTGTTACCGTCCCACACTGGAGAGCACGTCCCTGTACTGGGTGGAGCTTCATTCTGTGCCAGAGGAACGATAACATGCCGACCGAGGCAGTTTGAAACATTCTTCCCCCACGTGTGTGTCTGTGTTTGTGTCTGTCCCCGTGTCATCGTGCGCGTACGTCTGCGTGTGGGTGGGTGTGTGTGCGGCCGGCCCTGGGGGGAGGTATCCGTAAAGTCAGTTCTCCTCTCTCCTGTAGGGCGGATACGCAGCCTACAGATACGCACAGCCCGCTACTGCAACCGCGGCCACAGCTGCCGCCGCCGCCGCCGCGGCCTACAGCGACGGGTAGGTGCCGCCCGCCGCCCTCCTGTCAGCGCCGCGCTGGCCCCCGGCCCGCTCCCGCTTGGTCTCCTTGTCCCTTTCTGGCCGTGACCCCGCTCTCCCTCTTCCTCACGCCCGGCTCCTTTCTCTCCCGCTGTAGAGAGGTACTTGAGAATTGTTCGGCGTTACTGCATTTGGGAGTAGAGAGAGAAAGTTCCCCAGTAACGTTCCGAGACCAAGTTACCCCCGAGTCTTGAGCACAGTAAACCCTGTCATTCTGGGAGCGCACAGCCTTGGCCTGATCTCCCTGATTGCATTTCCTCTTGCAGTTACGGCAGGGTGTACACAGCCGACCCGTACCACGCCCTTGCCCCTGCCGCTAGCTACGGAGTTGGCGCTGTGGTGAGTATGGCGTGTGCCCTTTTTCTTCTTAACCACTTTACTCCGTTGAACTTTTGCCTACAGATTCCAAAAGATCTAGAGACGTAACAGATTCAGTCCCTCCTCCATCGCCAAAGTCCTGAAGCCACAGAAGACTGTCTGGAAAGTTCACATCAGCTTCTTTATCTGTGTGTTGTAGTGTGAGCCATTTGACCTGCTTAAGGGCAGGGAGGAATGAGCAGTGACAGTCTGCCCTGAGTAACGGCATCATGTGGGAGAGAAAGAAGGGAGCAGGTCAACGTTTTATATTGGCTCAGCTGTTGGGTGCATGCCTGTGGCTTGGTTTAATCGATAGGTGTTAGCGAAGACGTAGGGGCATGAGACTCTCCAGCTTTCACAGTAAGCTTTTCAAAAAACGGACATCAGTGTCAGATGCAGATACCAAAGGCTGTCCCTGCCATTCCCGAGCCTTCTGGCAGGTAGTGCTGGAAATCACCACGCGAATGCCTTACAGTAACATTTATGGCAAAATAGGGTATTTTCCTGGAAGTGTAGGAAAGGTCCATTGAGCTCATCTAGAAGAACTCCCCACCCCCAGCCCCCTCCAACCAAACTGGAATCCTCACGGCAGTATTTCTTTGTTGGCCTGGATGCCTCCGGGCTGCAGCAGAGACGGGCTGTTCCACAGCAACATCCCTAATATTCTCAGCCAGGCAGCAGCCTGGGAATGTGGACAGAGGTGTTGGACGGGGAGGCAGAGTGATAAATGAAATTTGACTGAGAGGAATATGAGAGAGCCCGTCATTTCTCACACTTAGTCTCTCCTGATATGAAGATTTGTGGGAGGAAGTAGCAGGGTCCTAAGGGAATGTAGGTGTGGAATTGAGGTAGAGACAGACAAAATAAAGACAGTGATGGAAATTCCTGAGATTTTATGTGCCCAAAAGATACAAGTCCAATCCTGAAGAAGCAAAGAAAGAACAAAGCCCGGTTAAAACTCCAGAGAGAGAGAGAGAAATAAATTCGTGTATGTCCACAAGCAGCCTAGTTGGCATATATTCTAGATTATAGAGGAGCTAGACTTGAGTTGAAAGGTTGACTCCGGTTTAAATCCAGCACCATCTCAGACATGGTACGTGGCAGCTAGTGGTGAGAGGAGCCTGTTCTCCATGGACAGGTGACGTGTACAAAGGTAAAATCAGCTAGCTACTTCAGGTCACAATTGTGATGATGTGATCAAGGTAAACAAAAACTCATGCTTTTAAACGTCAGATTATTTACAGATCTGGTTTTAGACTGTATTGAGTTTCCCTTCTGTGCTGATTGATGTAAATAATGAAACGAAGCAGGGACAGGAGAATATCAGGTCCTCAGTAAGTGTTCTGGGCTCTGGTTTGAGCATCTTAGAGGCAGAAGTCGGTTTCCTGACTTCACTGCACTAGGTAACATCTTACCAGTTGCTTTACAGCTTCTAAAGAAGCTGTTTTCCAAATCCTTTTTTTCAGGACATTTTCCTTCATTTTCAGTGCTTCTCTCATCAACCTTTTAATTATTTTTATGTCTTTAATTACTGCAGGCGAGTTTATACCGAGGTGGCTACAGCCGATTTGCCCCCTACTGAAGTGACGTGAGACCCTGCAAATGGGACAGCCCCCCAGTTCATGAGGCCTGGCTATTGCAATATTTACTAGTAGAGGAACTCTATAGCAAGATGAAGAGGAAAAACAAACAAACAAACAAAAAACACAAAAAAAGAGAGAATACTTTTTTATACCTCACTATGTTCTTTGAATATGTATTTTTTCCTTTACATTTCTGCCTTTAATTCTTTTGTTCCAAAGATTGTGCATTTTTTTCTTTTTTTTCTTTTTTTTTTTTAACTGTGGTAAAAAAAAAAAAAATAATGCATTTCCATGTCTGTATGTCCGTGCTTAGCTTATTCTGTCAATCACGGAAGAGGCAGTTAATGAGGAAGGGGAGACCTTAGGAGCTGATGAATGCATGTGATCAGAAATCAGCAGACAGAGCTACCAAAGTGTATCCGGTGCTGAATGGCTGGGGGACGAGCAGAAGTGGAGGAGATCTGTCTGCAACAGGATATTCTTCTAGTCTTCTGAGTTTCTGGTCTTCGGCAGGCAATTCTGCTTGGCTGTGGCTGGAATCCACATGCTGATAGATGACAGGAATTTGTGCTTGCAAAGCAGGAGGATTAAAAAGACACTTTCCTCTCCTCTTCCCTCCTGTCTTCTCCATTCTTTTTACAATCATCTTACCTGCACAGCCTGAGACAGTTGGCATCGTTTTTGGAATTATAATATTAATATTTCCAAACATGCTCTCAGACTGTGGATAATAAACACCTCATTAGGAAACCGATCTCAGAATGAACTCTGGAGTGTGAAAAAGATCATTCTTTTCTTTCCTGAGATCCTAGCATTCCTGCTGGGCTGCTTCCCTTTTCTCTGAACCACAGCTTAGCTCATCTGTCCTTCTATGAACTCCCTGCTCCCAAGTCCTCAAGAGTCAGGAATTTAGGACCCAGGGACAGGAGAATAAATAGCCAGCAACCAGATCTCCCGGCTTGAGGGTTTAGAAGTACCAAGTGTTGGGAGCCAGTAAAGAGGGTAAGGAAGAGAAAAGGGATATCAGATGATGTCTGGCAGGGCTCTGATATTCCTGTGCTTTTCTCTTGCATCAGGAGGTCAGTACAAGGTATGAAACATATGGAGAGTGTTGGCAAAAGATAAAGCTCCGAGTCCCGGGGCAGCTGTCCCTGGAAGTTTGTGGTGATCGGGGCATGTGAGGGCAGGCAAAGGCACTTTGTACTAACTAGCTCCAAAGCCATAGGAATTCCCATTTTCCAGAGCATTCTGTGAGCCACTTCTCTGTCCATGGTCTTGAGCTCTCGTGGCCACTCCGCCCGGCTTCTCATTTTCCTCCAAAGACACCCAGCAGAGCACTCGACCGCTTGGCATACATGAACACTACAGGAGATAAAACCCAGAGCCCCTGAGGCTCCTCCCCTCCCCTGGTGGAAGGAGGGTGTGTCCTGGCAAGGATCTCCTCTCACGTGTTGCCAGGAAGTTGTGTGGTGACCACAGCGGTGAGTCACTGCTATGGCTCCCTGGCTTTGATTTTATACATATTGACAAGGTAGGGGAGAAGGTGTTTCTCTTCTAGCTATTAGCTGTTAATGATAAAGGCAAGGGTCCTGCAGCATTTCCAAAATGAAAGCATTAGAAAACAGAAAAGCACGGTCTGTTTGGCTCCCTGGTCTATTCACATTGGTACTAGGGTGACCTCTCACCCAAGGGATAGCTGCTAAAGGGAGTAATTCAGAGACATGGAGCTTCTGGTTTGTTATAGGTTTGTTTTCCATTTGTTTTGTTGTTGTTTTTTCTTTTTTTTTTACTCCTGCCTCCGCACGTGTTCTTGACTGATAACTGATTCATGTCCCTGAATTAAAATGACTGACATATGACAGCATCAAGCATTCTTTGTAAGCAGAGTGATCTATCCGGGAGGGACTGGCCTGTTGTGTAAAATACCTATCTTCTCCCCCTGTGAAACCCTCTCTCTCCTGATGACTGGGAGGAGAGGCTGTGCCTGAAACGAGGGGAGACATCAACGGAGCTAGAGGCCTCGATGCAGTCTTACTGATTCTGGGGAGGAATGCATGGAATAGGGGACGCCATACTGCCCGAGGCCATTGGCCATTTGTAAGGGTTCCCCTCCCCAAGCCAAAGTTTGGTTTGTTGCTGTTAAGACAATTTTTGTTGTATGTATATAAATATTTTAGTTAGAGGAAGGGGTATAGGATGTGGGGCTTTCACAGTTCTAGAGAATGGGGGCAGGGAGGATTTTTTTTCTTTTTTCTTTTGCTTTTGTTTTGAGGGAGAGCTTTTACTCACTAAAGAAACAGAAATTTCATGTCATGTTCAAATAGGGGCCATTCACAGAAATGGCAAGCCACTGCTCAGTGGAGATAAGGCCAAATTTTAAATGGTTGTGTCTGTAGCAAGGGAGGAGAATCGGGGAATGAGTTTAGTAATTTTCTCTTCTTTTTTCCAAGAAAGAGACAAGGATGGTGGGCAAGGTAGAGAAGGCAGCTCCCACTGCCCTTTTAAAAAGAGGCAGAAGCTCGAGCTTGGGCTACCTTTACTGCAGTTCAGTTCAGCTGGTTCTGGCTGAGGACTCCATAGGCAAGCTCTGTACGTTCTGCTGCATTTCCAGGGATGGTTGTAATCCGGCTTCCTCCAGCTCCCTTTTCTAAGGAAGGCTAAGCAGACTTCCGCTTTCGCTCAAGGGCCTCTGCTCTTCGGTGTCAGCACCGAGAATTGGAGCTCTTGTGAGCACCTAGGTGAGATCGTAGCGGCCTCCCCATCCCCTTTTGAACTCTGAGACTCCGTACAGCCTGCTTCATCCTCAAAGCACCAGTGCTTGTCTGCTCCTGGCTCTGGTTCCCACTGGACTAAGAAACAGAGTTGGAAGAGAGTTTGGCATCTGTGGGTTCGTTAGAGGATGCTGGTTGATGATTCCAAAAAACACTGATGCTGAATCCCAGCACGTGAATGCTTTCAACAGCTTTACTATAGCTCATGACGTGGACTTCTGTACTTAGCGTCTTACTCCTAGAAGCCGGGCTCCTTTAAGGAGACCGCTAGTGAAAACCTTTATCTCCTAACCCTTTTTCAGCCAGGAGAGCTGCCCTTAGGTCTTTTCTGGAATCCCTTGTGTTCCATGGTCCAGCTCCCACAACCCCTGGCTCAACCATTGTGACTCATCGTTTTTAAGGCTCTCAGGTTTTCCCAAACTTCCATCACCACCATCCTCTGACAGCCACAGGTGGGATTGAGCCAATGTTATTTTTCCTTGAAAAAGAAGGGGACTGGGACTCACCTCTTCGTTTAAGGGGAGCTAGTGGAGATTATTCAATAAAAACCAGTGGTAGCAGCTTTTCCTCACAAGTCTAACTCCTCAGGGGCTAAATTGCTCTTACTTTAGGTTCCCGTTCCTAGCAATGTAGCAGACAAGTAGGTGAGCACCACCCCCATCACCAGTCACTTAGCTTCCAGGTGGGAGGGAGGTATAAACTCGGGATTGAAGCCGCCCTGACGATCTGCCAGAGGGGCTTCCTAACTCCCCTTCCCTTGGACAGGAGAATGGGGCCAAGCCAGGGCCCCTCTGGAAGGCACGCCAGCCAGAAAGGGGAGGGAAACTACTCGCCCCCTTCCCTCTCACCAAGTCCAGCCTCCTCTGCTGCTTGCAACCTCTAGCACAGTAACGTTCGCAGAATTGCAGATTCCCCCCTCCCCATGATAGGAAGAAAGGGACTTTGGGGGGTGGGAAGGGATAGCGGTGTTTTAAAAAGCATAAGTTACCTGTTTGCACTGTTTTAAGATAGGAAAAAAGAATAGTGGGCAAGATGAACATCAGACGTAAATTTGTGTGTTTTTATTTTGTCATGCTCTTGAAAATGTCTGACCATTTGTAGTATAGACACCAGTGAGACTTGCTTCTGTTACATAAAACACTAAATTTTTTTTTCTGTTTTTGGTAATGTTACGTCCAGAAGCCTCTTCCCTCCCTTTCCCTTTCCCTGTGTACTTCCTCCATACTTGCTTTACTGATCAACCAGGCAATAGCCATCCAAGAGCTAGAGCATGAAGCAGGGCCCTTTCCAAGTAGGCTCCGGCGGTCCTAAGCCAGTGCGCGCCCCCTGGTTTAGTAAGCACAATGGAGTCCCTGGCACCTGGCTTTAAAATAAGGCTCACAGACCGGCCTATGGCAAGTTCTCCAATTCCCGAATCAGATGCACTAGGAATGAGGAGCCGAGGGCAGAGGGGATTCCTCAAGTTATCCAAGTTGGCTGTAGTAGCTGTTCTTACCCATGTTACCGGAACTGTAGCCAGTTACAGTTTACTCAGGAAAACGGTAGATCAATTCAGCCATGGTAGTGCTGGTTGGCAGGGATTGGTAACCGAGAGAACTGCTCATCAGCCAAACTCAGACCTTGCCTTTTAGGAGCCTGCCAGCGGGGGGCCCAGTGATGCCGGAGGGCTCCCTCGGCCACACTGGCAAGCAAAAAGGGAACATCAATTCTCTTTCCTCTCCTCCTCCCTCCCCGCCCCGTTAACAACATCAGATTCCCAGGGGGTCCGTGCGGTTTTGACTTTTTAAAAAGTGACTTTTGGTTTGGTTTTACTGGGGACTGATAAGTGCTTTAAGCAAGTCTACACCCCATTGAGACTCCCAGCTTAGCCGTTTTCTGGTATTTTTCTGTTCACAGTATTTTCGTGTGTGTGTGCTGTGTTCTGGCAGCTGACTCGGGCTGTATTATCTATCGAAGAGTGATGAATTGATCCTCTTTTTTCCCTAAGGGATATGAATTGTTTTTTTTTTCTTGTGTTATAATTCTGCTTGTGAATAGCTGGAGCAAACCTGGGGCCTGACACACGTAAGCTAGGGCTGCAAAGTGCTGACAGGGCCGGTGGGGTTGACTTGTCCCTGACAGGCTGACCTACCTGCGTCTCTGAGCTTTTCAGCCCAAATCTTTGCAAGGCTAAAAATGCCACAGAACCTCTCCTCTCCTCCCCACTCCCCGTGGCAGGGACTGGACCATCCCAACATGCGACATGCAGCTTCTCCGGCCCCCTCCCATTGCCATGGCAAAACAGGTACCTTTGGGGCATGGGGGCATCACATGGGATGCTTGTATAATTGACCACCTCGCCTTCTCTCCCCACCCCCACCCCCAGAGTCACTTCCTAGGACACCCGAGCTGCTTGCCCAGGGTCCTGTTTCCCTGCGAACTCCAGAGAAGCACCCCCGGGCTTTGTGACAGCCTCTTAACTCCCTCCCCTTCTTGTTAAGAATCCTATTGTATAGTAGCTTTCAGACCATACAGTATTCATTGGGTTACTCCTATTATTATCAAGTAGCTGGAATTGTGAAGGTCGGAGTAGTTAGATCTTTAGCTTTTATTCCTTATTTTTTTGTATTACTATCCATGTGTATAAATTATTGATCATGTTGCTGGCTTTTATAAACTCCAAGCGAAGGAGGAGCGCCGCCTCTGCCTTTGCAAACGGTAATGAAGCACTGTTTTTAAATAAAAGAGAGAAACACCGTTCTTTGGCCTGTGTGTGTTGATGGGGGATCCCTCTTGCCTCCTCCTGAGGCTCAAAACCTGCACCTTGGATTTGACTTCTAAAGATGGAGGAAGGAGGAGGCAAAGCGCAACACTTGCTAAATGGAGGGCACTCAAGGTCACGCTGAGCCGTGGGGTAAACGAAGCCAAAGGCTGGCGCCATGGGAGAGCCTCTCCCTGGATTCCTCCAGGCTTGGCAGAAGCTGGTTTTTGTGCCTCTGCTGCTGACCTCCTTTCAGCCTTCGTGCTCTCCTGGACTCCGAGCCGCCCCCCTCCCCATCCAGCCACTTGACCTTCCTGCCTCGCTGCCCCTGTCACTGTGTCCCCTGGCTCCTGGCCACCCAGGCTTTGTGCTCCTAATTGTGGGGTCCTGCTGGCCCTTCTGTGCATGCTTCTAACCTACCCCCTGCACTGGTTTCCCTGCCAGTGACCACCCTCCCCCCCCCAACAAGTTCCAGAAGTCTCCAGTGCCCTTCGCTTGGCTCTTAGGTCACCTAGCTTTCCATTTCATGGAGCTGGAGGCCATCGCTGCCCAGGGGCTCCCTGGAAGAATGCTTTGCTACTGGTTCTAGACATCACCTGAATTCATGCCCTTTCTTTCTCCCTCTCTCCTGTTCTACTCAAGAGACAGTCTTTACCCTGTGCTCGCACCCCATCCTTCTGGGGACCTTGCTTTGTTGTGCCCTCCTGCAAGGTCAACCTTTCGCTTCCTACAAGTTAGTCCCTAACCGGCATTTAAACGTGCTTACACCTTTAACACATTTAAAAAAAAAAAATTCCACAAGATCCCAGGTCTTCTCCTACACGACAAACTTCTGGAATAAGTTTCTGCCCGCTGACTCCAAGGACTTGCTCTCCCCCGTGCTGCAGTCCGCTGGCTCCTCCCTCTAGGACCCTGAAGCAGCGCCTTCTGGTGACAGCAGGTAGATGGATGCCCCTCCTGGGCCCTTACCTGATTGGGTCGCATTCAGCACTGCCAGGTGTTCTCCACCCTTCCATTGGCGAGGCCTAGGGGAGCGAGGTCTCCCCTGCGGCCCCCTGGGCCAGCCAGCGTGTCCACCTCCTGTGCTGAGCTGCTCTCCCGGTTTCCATCTTTGGCCAGGCCGCACGCAGCTTCTAACACCGCGCAGGGCACGCTTCCAGCCAGACGGCCGCCCGCGCCCCAGCCCGACCTGGGCACCTGGGTCTCCAAACGGCTGCGGTCCCCGCGCTGCGGCCAGTGCCCTGCACGTGTGAGCGCTCTGCAGATGCCTGCTAAGTTCCTTTTCTCAATGTTTCACGTGAAGTGAGACTCCGTTTCCACCCTGCCTTCCTGTATGTTGTCACCCCGGGGGACAGCCACGCTTGCAGAGCACGATCGAGAGCCGTCCACATTATCTTCTGTCTTCCCGGCGGCGCTCCTCCCGGGGTCCTCCCGTGTCCCCCCTTGTTGCTGAGCATGTCACAGGAGCAGCGTCCTGACTGCTCTTCTCCCAGCCCATCAATCGGGGCGCGTTTGCAGTGAGTAACCATGAGGAATGAGGGGACCTCCAGGAAGAAGAGCAAGCTAGGAAAGGGGGACCCTCGGCATCCGTCAGCTGCAGCGCAGACTTACAGCCTCCATCCAGGCTCCTGTCACCTCTCCCTCCACGCCCATGGGACTTGGGGACACTGATGCTCACGCTGCCCCATGTCCCCAGCACGAAAGCCCTTCGTCTCTGACCCAGTCTGGTGTTTCTGCCAGGACGCAGGAAACCCGCATCAGGCCACCCTAGTTTCAAACCCCACGCCGGATCTATGGTTACTCCCCACTTAAGCTGAGGAAGCTGCATCGCAGGGGGCTGTCATCACTTTAGTCCTAAGTCCCCCAAGTAGGAAGTGGTGGACCCAGGATCCACCGGCAGCCAGTCCAGCTCTGAGTCCTCGCCCTTTGACCTCTGGGCTCTAGTGTTTCTGGCGCTTCTCTCGTCAGGAGTCCCAGAGCCCGCTGCATCCCGCCCCGGGCTGTCCACGCGCCTTCCGTAGGGTCCTCTTCCTCCACCGTCCACCTAGCCCGCAAATCTCCGCGGCCCAGGCTCCTCCACTCCTGAAAACTCGCTGTCAGTTTCCGCTCCCAGTGGGGGAGTCAGCCCCGCACCCCGACTCTCCCGCCCTGAAGTCTGGACTCAGTCCCGCCCCAGTCCCCCAGCCCCTCACATTCACCAGGCTTGAGGTTGCCCTGTCCCCCCAAAGCCTCTGTTCCCTCAGGTGGGAAACTGAACAAACGTTGGCAATCATCGCGTGAAAACCCAAAAGAGAAATGAGTGAGGAATCTCGCCAGAGGGAGGGGTGGCCCCCCACCTCCATCTCAGGCATGGGCCCATTCGTCGTCTGTTTTCACTGCCCCATTGCCCGTTCTCCCTGCGCCAGGCACCCGCCTCTGGCAGCACCAGCTCCTCATCCTGGGACCCGCCGCCAACTCCCTGGGCGCCTGGCATCCCCGCCAGCGCCTAAGATGCAGCCCTGACCTCTGCCTCCTGCACACTCCCACCTCCGCCTGTGGAGCCGCCCTGGCCGGCCTCCCGCCCGCCAGCCAACTGCCCCCCTGCCCCCCGGCCTGGCCGGCCTCCTGCCCCCCGGCCTCCTGCCCCCCGGCCTGGCTGGCCTCCCACCCGCTGGCCTCCTGCTTCCCCCGCCCAGCCTCCCGTCCCACCGGCCTCCTGCCCCCTGGCCCAGCTCATTCCTACCTTAGGCCCTTGGCCGAGCTGCGCCCTCTGCTCTGAAACCCTGGCCCCAACTCTCCTCCCTGCGGCCTCCGATGAAACCCTGCCTCTCTGTGAGACCTTCTCTCGCCACCCAGCATAAGGGAGCCCCTCTGCCCCAGCACCCTATTTGACCGTCTTCCTAGCACTCAACCACCCTGAGGTTATCTCAAGTCAGCTCGTTTCTTGCTTCTCGCTCCTTCCACTGGATTCCAATTATTAGAAGGTAAGCTCTGGGAGAGAAGGGGGCAGGCAGCCTCACACACCGCTGTAGGCCAGGGCCCTGGTGCGCATCATGAACGCACAGTGGCCTGACCCCTGCATCCAGCACCTTCTTCTTCTAGCCAGCCAGTCCTCCACACTTTGGCCTGGATTCTCCTTCTAAAATAAATGTGACCCTATCATCCCTTGCCGCAAAATCCTTGAGAAATTCCCATGTTCCAGAATCTGAAATCCAAATTCCTTAACATGGCACTCAAGGCCTCCCTCTCCCATTGCCTTGGCCCCTCTCCCCCCACCAAATGAACTTGTCCTCGAATTTCAAAGCTCAGCTCAAACGTCACCTCTTGACCTCCTTCCCTCTTGGCTCCCTGGAACCCGTCCATCCCTGGGCTCCTCAGGCAGAGCACCTGCCTTCTGAGCTCTGCGTCCGGCCGAGTACGCGCTCACCAGGGACCAGACCGACAGCATCCCCGGGACAGCTCGCCGTTAGCACGTAGCGTGCTCTTTACACGTTTTATTTTGTCGGTTTGACCCCCCCCTCCCACTCCCATCATTCTTTCCGCTCGACAGACTTTAACTGTGAAGCTTTTCTTTGCTCCAGGCTCAGCCCAGGTGTGCGGCATCCCTTAATCCCACAGACGTGGGTGCCCTGCAGCCACGTACCAGTGCCATTTGGAAGTGAGACCTGGAGAAGCCGAATTTTCTGTGAGGGAACTGTGCACGTGTCTTTTCTCCCACCAGACCACGCTTCGGGGGGACAGGGCAGCAGATTAATCCCCCGCCTCGCTGGGCACCTGCTCCCGTCCTATGAACTGTACGGAGGGTGCCACAAAAAGGCAGAGTCTGGAACACAGCCAGGGATGCGACAGGCACGGGCACAGGGTCTGCTTCTGGGGATCACACACGGACTCCCCAAAGATTTTATGTAAAACACAAGGTGACTTGAAGACGAGGGTCGGAAAGCTGGCTCCCAGCCTCCAGGCTCCCGTTTCTTCGTTGTACCCTCAGCCTCCAAGGTCATGGTTTTTGGTTTGAAGAGCAGATTCAAGTGCAAGAGAACCACCCAGGCTCCTGTTTGGCCATAGCCAGCTGTGTGCTCTTGGTCAAGTCTCTGCCTGTCGCCCCACAGCGCCCCCATGTATATACAGAATGTTCTAATAGACCGGGTAGCCCGTGGAGTCCCTCCCGAGGCTGAAGCGCTGATTCCATGTGTTGACAGCAGAACTTCTCTCCAGGTGAAAACCAGGCCTTGGCAAATGCTCGGTTCCAGGGCGGAGGACAGTCTGGTCATTCACGCCCACCCAAGTGTTCCGTCTTGCCGCTGGAGCAAAGTTCCTTCTCCTCCTCGGTCAGTAATAGGCCTTTGCACCCACGGAGCCCCATAAAGAAGCCTCAGGAGGGCAATCGTGCCAACACTTTGACTAAGTGCTATCAAAACCCGGCACCACCCAGGGGCTTGTCAGGAAAATGACACATCAGTTTTGGAAACTCCCTGATCCGGTTCTAGGCCGGGCCCTGGGGCTTCCCAACCAGACCCGCAAACCAGAACCCCCATTTACAGCCCCAGGCTTCTGGCCCAGCTGGCCCCGGGAGAGGCCTGGGCCTCTGGATTCTGTGAGGCGGAAGGCAATGCTGGCCTGCGCCCTGGCTGGATCCTGCGCACTAGGTGATGTGGGATCCTGCCAGCAACTCAAAGGCAGGAGATTTCCAGAGGTCTCCCCAGGGAGCTCACGTGGAAAGGCCGCCATTGACGTCTCGGTGCTGCCTGGCCCATGGGCACAAACACGGCGCGCTTGTGTGAGTTGGCAGAGCAGGCAGGTGGGAGCCCTGTACTTTCACTCAGCTTTGCTCCAGACTCCTCCAAAAAATAACGTCTATGAATTTTTGCGGAAACGCAGGGAAGGAGGCGGCCAGTCCGTCTCAGTCAGTGAGCGGCTGTATGCGAGGGGCCGTGGCTCCGTGCACCTCGGCCGATCACTCTTCCCGAACACGTGGGTCCTTAGGTTCTCTCCTGCTCCATCTCCACGGAAGCCTTCTGTT